CGAGCTGAGCGCCGCCGCCTCCTCGACGGCCTTCTGGCGCTCCTCTTCCTCGGCCTTGAGGCGATCCTCGAGCGGGATGATGTCGTCCCAGCTGACGTCGGCCTTGAAGTCCTGCACCTGGGCAAACGACTGGAGGAAGCCCTGACCGCCGGCCGAGCTGCCCGTCGGGTCGACCTCAGTCTCGTGTGCCTCGGCGTGCGAGAGGATGTCGTCTAGGTCCATCTCGTCGAGCTTCTTCTGCTGGCCGTCGTCGTTGTCGCTCTTGAACATGTTCTGGGCGCCAAACTTGAGGATGGCGCCGAGCTCCTCCTTGCTGAACTGCGTGGTGTTCTTGGCGCCCGACTTGGGCGCAAAGTTCGTGCCGGACGTGTCCATCTGGTTGATGATGGCGTACTCGAGCACCATTTTCTTCTTGGCACGCTCCAGCACGTCCTCCTCGACCGTGTCCTTGGTGAGGAAGCGGAAGACGCTGACGTGGAACTTGGAGTTGAGGCGGTGGGCGCGCGCCATGGCCTGCAGATCGTTCTGCGGGTTCCAGTCCGAGTCAAAGATGATGACGGTGTCGGCCGTCTCGAGGTTGATGCCGAGGCCGCCGGCGCGCGTCGAGAGGAGGAAGGCAAAGTCGGGCGACCCCTCGGCGTTGAAGTGCTCGATGGCCTTTTTGCGCACCTCGGACGAAATGGTGCCGTCAAGGCGCTGGTGGATGTAGCCGCGCAGCGACATGTAGTCAGAGAGGATGTCGAGCATGCGGACCATCTGGCTGAAGATGAGGACGCGGTGGCCGTCGGCCTTGAGGCGCGCCAGCAGCTTGTCGAGCAGCACCATCTTGCCGCTGTGCATGACGAGGCCGCGCAGCGTCTCTTCGCGGTTGTCCGAGATGGCCTCGGTGCCGTCGAAGAGGTAGGGGTGGTTGGACGCCTTTTTGAGCTCGATGGCGATGTTGAGCAGCGAGAACTGGGCCGTTGTGGCGCCGCTCAGCAGCGAGTAGTTGCGCGTCAGGATGGCCTTGTACATGCGCTGCTGCATCGCCGACATCTCGACGCGGAGGATCTTTTCCGACTTGGTCGGCATCTCCTTGACCACGTCGCGCTTGAGGCGGCGCAGCATGACGTTGTCAAGCTTCTCGTGGAGGTCCTTGATCATGCCCTGGTCGACGTCGTTGAGGTCAAAGTCGAGGTCGAGGTCGAACTGGTCGGGGCGGAGGAAGTGGAGCAGCGCGATGAGCTCCTTGACGTTGTTCTGCAGCGGTGTTCCCGTGATGAGGAGCTTGCCGGCGGCATTGAAGCTCTTGAGGGCGTCGTAGAGCTGCGACTCGGAGTTCTTGAGCCGGTGCGCCTCGTCGACGGCGAGGTACTGCCACTTGACCTGCTGCAGCTCGGTCTTGTCCTTGAGGATGAACTCATAGGTGGTGACGAGCACGTTGAACTTGACCTTGGCCCGCCCTCCGCCGGCTCCCGACCCGGAGCCCTGGAAGAACTCGTAGTCGCGGATCATCTGACGGCTGGCGCTGTTGCCCATGTAGGCGATGACGTTGAGGTCGGGCGCCCACACCTCGAACTGGTTCATCCACGCCGGCAGCGTCGAAAGCGGCACCACGACCAGGAACGGGCCGTACTGGTAGCACGAGTGCACCAGGTACGACAGGAAGGCCACCGTCTGCACCGTCTTGCCGAGGCCCATCTCGTCTGCCAGGATGCCGTTCTCGTTCTTGGACCAGAGGTAGGCGAGCCAGTTGAGGCCCGTCATCTGGAAGTCCTTGAGGGTGCCGCCCGGGGTGATGTAGGCGGGCTGCTCGGTCATGCGCTTGTACTTGGGCCTGCCCTTGGAAAAGTTTTCGCTGCGCCAGGGCACCATGCCCGACGTGGTCCGCTCGAGGTAGCGGTCGATGGCGGGCTTGCCGATCTGCTTGATCTCCTCCTCGGGCTCCCAGGTGCAGTCGGCGTAGGCGAGTCCCTTCCACTTGCACAGGAAGGCGAGGTGCGGGTAGGGCACGTCCTTGTTGGGCGGATTGTCGCGCTGTGCCACGACGCGCTCGACGGTCTTGTAGCTCTCGATGGCCTCGCGCTGGCGCTCCTTTTCAATCTGCAGCGTCTCGATGTCCTCGCGCGACGCGTTGGGGTCGGTCATCAGCGCCCGCTCGCGGAGGAAGACGTGCTTGATGTAGTTGTCGACGCGCTTGAAGCCCTTGAAGCGCTTGAGGAACTCGTACAGCTCCTGGGTATCGTGGAGGTGCGAGTAGCCCTTCCACTTGACGACGAAGCGCATGTTCTCGGTCGGCACGTCCTCGGGGTCGTCGAGGTGCGCCTCGTCGCGCTCGTGGCCGATGATGGCTTCGATCACGTCCTCCTCCTCTTCGGCGGCGCCGGCCTCGGCCGCCCACTGCTGCGCCCGCCGGTCCGCCTCGTCCTCGAACGGATCATCGTCGCTGAGGTCGGCGTAGTCCTCGGTGTAGTTGGGGATGCGCTTGCCGTTGCGGCTCGACACCCGCGACGCCTCCAGGTCGGCCGACGACAGCCTCGCAGCCGAACCCCCAAACGCCTTGGCCTTCTTCGACGCTTTAGACGACAACTTCTTGGCCGGCTTGCCCCTGCGCGACGACGACGAGGCCTTGTTGCCCTTGGACGACGACGCCCGGAAGTCGCCGTCATCGTCCTCGTCGTCATCGGCGTCGTCATCCTCGTCATCGTCGTCGTCGTCGGCGGCGTCTCTCGCCGCATCGGCACCATCATCATCGTCGTCGTCTGATATCCTGGCCGAGCTGCGCCTCGAAGAGGCCTTGGCCGCCCTCCTACGCGCACCCACGCTGCTGGAGCCGCCGTCCTCGGACTCGCTGCCGTCGATGTACTGCTTCTTGGGCGCCCGGCCGGAGCGTCGGAGGCCGTAGAGGTCCGGGTCCGCCTCGGCCTCGGCAAAGTGGCTCTTGAGCTTGAACGGCGCCCGCGACGAAGAGTGGCTCGACTGGGCGGCCGGCGAGCTCTCCTTGAGCGATCCCGCCCCGGAAATCGCTGCGGCCCGCGGCGCTGGCGACGAAGACGAAGCGCGCGAGGCGGACTGCTTCGAAGACGACGGCGACGCGGGCGATCGGTCCCCGGACTTTACCGCATTGGCGAACCGCTGCTGCTGCGAGTGATCGTCGTCGCTCGACTCGAGGCTTTCGAGGGGCGACGACTCCCGCTTCGGAGAGGAGCGGGCGGCGGAAGAGCCATCCTGCCCGTTCATGGCGTCGAGATGGGGATACTCTGCAGCGACTGCGATGGCGGTTTGCTCCTCGTCGGCGTCGCCGCCTTCGTCTGTGGTGGGCAAAGAGAGAGCGGTGGCTCAGGCTCGGGCTTGCCTATGATGCGACTGGCGTTCGGCCGGGAGCGGAGGCCGCAGACAGAGGAGGCCTCTCTTGCAGTGCCAGTGCCGCTTGGGTGCAGGTGGGGAATCTGAGCGGAGTCACTGGGGCCAAGACGGGGCGCTATGAATGGTTGCAGCAGCTCTGCCGGGTGCTTGCGAGGCGGGCAGGGACGGCAGTGGGATGGGGTCGATGATGTGCTGCACCGGGCTGCGACCGCCAAACCTCGTGATGCAGGTCAACGCCGGGAGGTTGGAGAGGTAGAGACGGGCGATGGAGGGCCAAGAGAGGGAGCTAGAGGAGCTAGTAGCGCCGCGAAGGGTTGTTTGCGATGAGCTGGTGCATGCGATGGCGAGGCGGTGACGCTTTTCCCCGAGGAAGAAGAGCGTGGAGAGGGAGAGGGCTCGCTATGGATCCAGCGCCGAGCGAGAGGCGGAGGAGCGCGGCAGGAGCGAGGATGGGGTTTTAAGTTGGGAATTGAGGATGAGGATGGGGATGAGGAGGTTGATGGGGAAGATGCCGCGAGCTAACAGCGATGGCTTTAGGCTACGGGTCTGGGAGCAGAGCAGCGACAGCAGCGGCAGGGCTAAGGACGGCGATGGTGCTGGTGACGACGACGGCGGCGGGTGGCTTCGCTGCCGTTGTCAAGCCCTTGCGCGCTGTGAAAGCAGGGGGAGGAGGAGAACGAGAAGGGAGTGGTGGTGATGGCGGCGGTAGGAAGTGGTAGTGTTGGTGGTGGTGTCAGTAGTGGCAGGGTGGTGGGGAGCGGGTGGGCAGAGAGGCAGGGGATGGTGACGGGAGCGTGCGTGCGTGCCTGCCGTGGGTGGTCTGGTCTGTCTGGCAGGGCGAGGCGAACGCTTAGAGGGCGCTCTGCTCGTCTCGTTGGTCATCGACGTTGGCGCTGCGTAGCCAGGCCAGGCCAGGTCAGGCAGGCAGGCCGGGTGGGGCTCACCACGCTGGGCTCTGGTCTCCTCTCTGCCCGGCTGTGCTTTTTGCAAGCGCTGCTGTCCGCACCTCCCTCTTTTGCTCGCCGTCGCCGCCTCGCTCGCTGCCCGCTCCACCAACGGCGGGCGGCGACGACGACAACCAGCCACCTCTGCCTGCACCCACAGAGGGGCGGGCGCGAGCCCGAGGGCCTGAGTGCAGGTGCCCCGGTTTTTTTTCCAAAGTCGGGCCTGCCTGGCCTTGCCTCACGAGTCCGTCTGGCTGGCCAAGGCCGCCCTCGTCGTCGTCGCCGCCGCCGCCGCGGCCGCCGTCATGATGGACTCAGGGTCACGCCAGCCTGCCGGCCGCCAGGCGGAATTTGGCCGCGCCCAGATGGCGGCCAGCCAACTCAAAAGACAGGGAGGGGGAGAGAGGCAAAGAGTCACAACGAGCGCCGCCAGCCCGGCCTGGCCAGAGGGTCAGACGGCTCCGGTCGCGATCAATCAGCCCCAGCAGCAGCGGCACCGACCAATGCCAGCACCAACGCCGACAGCCACCTATAGCCCACGCCGAGCGACGAGTCCCGCCTGACTGAACTACTGTCTGTCCGCCGGCCTGCCTGCCAACCTGTCTCATGCATGGTGCCAGACAAGCGATCGCGCCGACCTTGGTCACCCACCGAAGTCCTCAGACAAACAGGAGAGAGACGATGAAGGAAGAGCTAGTCGCTCGGCCGGTCGCGGCGGGTCCATGGCGGCCAGCAAACGAGCTGATGGCGGGCGGGTGGCCGTGGCCGTGCGTCCGTCCCGCCTTCGTCTTCGACAACGACGAAGGCTGGGCCGGCCATCCTCTGCGCATCACCCACAGGGTGGTGGTGTGCTGGCATCCCGTCGACCATCAGGCCAATCGGATCGATCCGCGGTACAGCCGGATGGACCCGACGGTGCCGCAAGGGATCGGATCACCGCCGACCCTCCTTGGCGTCGATATCGGGAAGGGGGCCAGGGCAGATAGCATCGGGGAAAGCGACGACGACAACGACCACGACGACCTCAACCTCGATCAATGCACAATCGCACCGAGAGATCGCCGATGACAAGCCGCAGCGTCAACGCAGTCGACGGCGACGACGACGGCGACAGGAGCGACAGCATCGACGACAGCCAGTCGATGAACTGGGGCGGCAACCGACAACGGCCGTGGCGGCGATGGCCGAACAAAGTCCCAACAGCCTTGACTCGTCAAGTGCCCGTCGTACCCCGTAAAGACAGCGAGTGCGTTACCCAAAGCCCCAAGGTGTCGTCCAGTGCGACCCAACATCGATCGCAACAGAACCTGGAATGGCGTCGAAGGTGCAAACACGAATCACGGTGGCCCCGGCAGAGGGAGGCGAGCACAGAACGAAAAGAATGGCGAGGAGGAAGTTTGATTGCAATGACAGCATGGCTGCAATACCGCTGGAGAAGAAGACGTCGACGAGGACGACAAACACTGCGATAGGTTGGAGTGGCAAGGTAGCGTGAAGCTGATGGCGAGCTGAGGTGTCGATGGAGTCGGCGATGAAGGCGGCGGGTTGGCGGTTGACGACGATGATGGGTCACACAGAGATGGTGGCCTAGGTGCTGGCCCGATGGCGAAGAGCCCGTGTGTCGACTACGGCGGCGATGCTGTATCACTGATGGCGGCGAGAGCCGTCGGCGGTGGCCGTGGCGGCGGCGGCTCGACTGGTATGACGCTGACGTCGACCGGCCTGAATACCCTCGCGCCTGTCTGCAATCGGCAGGGCGATCTTGGAATCGGGAGGAAAGGCGATCCAGTCGGCCGTAGGGCACCGGGTGGCGCGCAAGCCGGGCGTGCAGGTCGGATCGGGGCAGATGAGGAGACGCTCCAGAGGGTGGTGCAATGGAGCCGAGGCTCGTTGGCGGTGGTGGCGGTGGTGGCGGTGGTGGTGAGTGAAATTCAGATTGGGCCGGAACGCCCGGCGAGCGGGTTGGCCTGGTGGTCGATGAGCAGCACCGAGCCCTAGGACCGTTGTAGAACGATTGATTCGATGGCTTGGTGCGAGGAGTCGCCTGGCGAGAAGCGTGCCGAGGGAACTGGCGGTGGTGGTGGTGGACGGGAAAGGGGAAAAGTTGGAGGCGAGGGCTGGGGTTATAAGGGATCCGCGGGTCTGCGTGCGAAGGCGGGCGAGCGGGCCACACACAGCTGGGCGGCCGGGGCAGCCAAAAGAGAGCAGGCGAGAGAGGTCCAGAGGGCGGTGGGCCCATCTGCCTGCCTGCCTGCCTGCCTGCCTGCCTGAGGCCCCTACCCTGCGCCGGCCTCGCCCCTGCTTCCTGCTTCGACGGACCTGACCCGCTTTTCTCGCACGGAGCGCGCACTGGCCAGCAGACTTGCCAGAGGCCGGTCGGGCCAGGCCTCAGGCCAGGCCAGGAGGCAGGCGAGATGGCGGGGCCCGGATCGCCGCCCGCCTCGCCGCCCGCCTGTGGTCGGCGTAGCTGCCTGGGCTGCCTTGGCCTAGCCTGCCTCTCCACACGCTCGCCGCCTCATCCCCCCCACCATCGCATCGCCTCCCGCTCCACCAGCTTCCGCCCCATCCGCAGCCTCCTTGCCCAGCTGAGCACCGGCCTTCGATCAAGCGCCGTCAAAGTCTGAAATCCCAACCCGCGCGCGCTCCATTCTCACGCTTCAAGGCTCAGCCGCGACCCGCAAGTCCTTCACGCCGGCTCGCAGTCCTCTACCCTCCAAGGATCGCCATCCCAGACTTCTGTCCCCTTGCAACACACCCCATCCTTTTGCAAACATGGTGAGGGACAGCAACAGCAAGCGCGCCCAGCTGCAAGGCGCAGCTAGCTGCACACAACCAAATTTGCTGACACGCTGTCCGCCCGACCCTCTCTGTTGTTCCCCTCCTCCACCAGTCCAACACCCTCAGACCCTACCTCAGCTGTGTCAGGTCCACCCTGACGGCCGCCATGACGCTCGAAAACTTCAGCTCCCAGGTGAGTCGCGCCGCAAGCAAGCGCCAAACTGGTGCCGCTGCATCCATCACCGCGGCGAGCACTGACCACGATGAGATCTGCCTTGCCCCGTCCGTGCCTCGAACCCGACGCAGGTCGTTGAGCGTCACAACAGTGAGTACGGCCCACCATGGGCTTGTCCATGATCATGACGAGGGCCGGTGCCGCCGACAACCGACCGCTGCGCACCTGCTGACTTCGACGGCGCCGCCGTTTGCCCCCCGCCTTCGCCGTCCGCCCGGCCCGCAGAGCCCGAGGTCGAGGCGAGAACGTCGAAAGAGGTGCTGCTCAACCCGCTCACCATCAGCCGAAATGAAAACGAAAAGGTGCTCATCGAGCCATCCGTCAACAGCATCCGCGTCAGCATCCACATCAAGCAGGCCGACGAAATCGAGCGGCTGCTGTGCCACAAGTTCACCCGCTTCCTCATGCAGCGCGCAGAGAGCTTCGTCATCCTCCGGAGGAAACCGGTGCCCGTGAGTGCAGGCGCAGCGCGCGCAGCGACGCAGCAGTGGCGATGATGGTGTTGCTAATCACGGCCGTCGGTGCCTCGCCTGTGCCTCCTGTGCGTCCCCTTCCCTGCCTCGACCGGGCTGACTCGGCGGACCACAGGGCTACGACATTTCGTTCCTCATCACCAACTTCCACTCCGAGACGATGCTCAAGCACAAGCTGGTCGACTTTATCATCCAGTGAGTCGGGCGCTAGAGCGGGAGGGATCGGCGCGCTCCGCCGGGGCGGCCCTGGGACTAGCCGACTAACGCGGATCCCGCCATCGTCCCCACGTTTGCTTGCTCGCCAGGTTCATGGAAGAGGTGGACAAGGAGATCAGCGAGATGAAGCTCAGCCTCAACGCGCGGGCGCGCATCGTCGCCGAGTCCTACCTGAGCACGGTGAGTGGAAGCCGCGTGCCCGGAGGGTCATGAAGGCGCCATCATCATGGCGATGACGACGTCGGCGACTGACTCTACGCCATGTGGCTTTTCCTCTTCCTTGCGACGTGCGACTCAGTTCACCTGAAACCCTCGATCAGGGCGTGGCGGTGGCCGGATGCTGTGTACATAGAAACGCTGGCCGAATGCAACGTGCAGAGTCCCAGCCCAGATCGAATCGGGTTGTCGCCGTGCCTCAATCTTTGGAGAACGAGGATTCTGATGTAGACTGGAAGGAGGCCTGCGCAGCCATCGACGTTGCGATGGAGATACGAGCAGGCCCTCGTGGATTTGCAGCGGCAAAACCCATCCGTCAAGATGTCGGCCGATTCTCGTTCAGCGCTGTGGTCGCCCCGCTCCACAGCAGCGCTCTGGCAGCTTGCCGCCGCCAGACCCCAGCCACCACCCTCGACTACGCTGGCTCGCTTGGCGGCCTTGATGCCTGCTCCGCGCCCCGGTCTTGCCTGCTTGGCCTCTCGGCCCCCCGTCAAACCGCGCACGAATGTGTCATAGAGTGCCCGCAAACCCACGCTCCACGGCGCGCAAGCCTTGCAGGTGTTTCTACGCCTTTGCCCGTCGGCATGTGCGCGCCGACCCTCTCGACTGCTTCGTCTCCGTCCTGGTCTGTCCGAATCGTCTAGGCGATAAAGGTGTCTGTCGATTCCGCCGCTCCAGCAGTGCAGTGTCAGGTGCCTATTTTACACGGCTCCCCTCCTGAATCCAGGGTTCGTTCCTACCACCACCATCATCATCATCTCTTTCCAACCTCCGACTGCAAAAAGACGAGAGAATTAGGAAAAAGCGTCGCGCATTCACGAAGCGACGGAAGGAGTTCCGGATCGAGGCGACAAACGAACGAGGTAGACGGCTGCGCCACTTTACATGAAAGTTTCGCCGTCAACAGCATGGACTGCGCTCGTTGCCCTTTCGCGCGCGGCGGTGACGCGGATTCCGCTGAGTCCACACCATCCCTGCCTCGTCGCAGGGTGCCCACATCGCCATGTAGGAGCTCGACGGCGGAGCAGGGCACGGCAGTGCTCCTTCGCCCGCCCGCTTCTCGTTTCACCCACGCAGCGGTCGGCCAGACAGGTTAGGGTCACCGCGAGTTCCATCGCCCTGGGACAGGCCCGGACCCTATTTGGCCTCCCCGCCCACACCCGCTTTAGGCCTTGACGACGGGGTACTTTGCGGCGATGGCGTCGTACTGCTCCTGGTTGAGGGCAAGCACCTTTCCGTGCTTGACGCGCTGTGGAAAGGCCGCGAGGTCGTCGGCCTGCCAGGCCTTCATGTCGTCGAGGGTGCGCGCGCTGGCGGGGATGTACCTGTTCTGGGTGTTTTCGTCGATCCAGAGGTGAAAGAGGGAGGGATCGATATTGTCGCGGAAGCAGAGCGGGCCCTCGTTGTTCGAGTACTGCGACGCGAACGTGATGCGGTCCGAGAGGGGAGCGTCGCCCACGCGCGTCCACGTCCCAAGTAGGCCCGTGGTGGATTCCTCCTGGTAGATGCGGTAGTCGCGCTCGTCCTTTACGAAGCGCACCCAGGCGTTGGAGCCCTTGGCCTCGTTGCGGATAAAGGTGGCGTCGATGACAGGGTAGTCGACGTCGATGTAGCGACGGGCGGCGCTGAAGCTGACAAAGTCGGTCGTGGTGACGTACATGAGGCGGTTGGGCGGGATGGGGTCGGCCAGGTGGCCCGGATCGGTCGCCTGGTCAAAGAAGCGCGAGGCAAACACGACGACGTAGGCGCCCACGAGCGGGTCCCAGTTGGCTTCGGGCGCCCATGCGTTGCCCGCCGATTCGTCGACGAGGGGCGGCGTTAGGCGCGGGCCGGTCCAGTTGGCCAGGTCGTTCGACTCCCAGATGACCATGGAGCGCGACCCGTTGCGGCTGGCGGCGTTGAAGTCGTTGCCGAATGCGTTGCCGTTGAGGTCGGTCGCCGTCATCCACCACTTTGTGCCGTCCTGCGAGGGGACAATGAAGCTGTCGCGCACGCCCCTCGTTCCCACCGTCGAGCGGAGGATGGCCTCGGTGCTTGCGGTGCCGTCGCGCGATAGACGCTTCCATCCGCTGACGACCTTGTTGCCGTCCGAGAGGTGCATGTAGATAGCCTCGTCGTCGACGGGGAACGACGTGAAGAGATAGCCCACCTTTGTGCCGTTGGTGGCCGTCTGGCGCGCCTCGAGCGGAACAGCCAGGGCGGTCGACGCCAGAAGCGCCAGCGAGACGAGCGGCCTGAGCAGCATTGCGAGAGGAGGGCGAAGGCGTTTGCAGCGGCGAGATCGGGCAAAGGACAAGGGTCAAGGTTGGGCGTGCGGGCAAGAAAAATGGCGAGCGCAAGAGCCGATGAGATGGGAGGAGTGGGGAGGACGTGCCAACTTCGTCGATTCTTTATACGTCTTTGGCGCCAGCCATGCTAGGTTGCCAAAGGTGGCATGCAGCGCAACGAGTTCGCCCATGGATGGAACGAGGGCATGCTGCGGAGCGAGATAGCGTGTACTGCGCTGCGACACGTTACCGGTCGGCGTGCTCCCGCACGGGGAGGGAGGAGAACAATTACGCCGCCGCCGCCGTCGTAGTCGTGGTGAAGATGCGCAGTCTTGCCCCGGAATTCTGTGTGGTGGCCCGGCGACGTCCATGGCGCTGCTGGATGGGCCAACGCCTCGAAGCTGTGCAACGGCAAGGGCGAAAGCGAAACTAGATGCCCGACCGGCGATGCGGTCGGTAGAGCCACGCCAAAGCACAAAGAGAAGCGCGGAGGCGGAGGATCGATGTGTGAACCCGCTGGCCAGGGAGGGCCCGAGCTGATGCCGGGGCATGGTGACGAAGCTAGGGTTGCTGAGGGGCCCCACGCTCCGGTTGATCGTCGAAGAAGAGCGGTAAAGATTGCCGGTATCTTCCTCGAAATCGTAGGAGAGGCGAGGAAAGGAGCACGCAGCGTCGCGGCCCGCCGCGACGTTGGCGACGGAAGATAATGTCGGGGGATTGAGCGCAGGACAAATTGGAAGTTGGCCGATATGCCTTGTCTGCGTGTCACGACGCCGTGGAGAACAGCCCTTGGATGCACAGCTGCACGCCAGAAACCTGCGATGCCTCTCCCTCTGATGCACGTCGCCACGCCACGCTACGCCGCGAGATGAAATGATCCAGGTGGCGGCGAACCCATGTATACGGAGCGCCGATAGCAAAGGCCAGGAGGAGCCCGAACGGCGACTTGTGCTCCGGGGTCGGCTTCCCATCGACGATGAGATTGCCGGAACGAATGGCCCTTTTCCGTGCGCTGACATAGATTGCGTTCGGGCGGCCTGAGCCGATGAAGGCACGCCTGTACAGACTTATGACTGTGCAGGCAGGTATGTAGGTGTGTAGGCAGAGTACCAACGTACGGATTGGAAGCGGAAGAGCAAGTTGGCCGGGCGGCGACTGGCAAAGCAGCGACTTCAGGGAAGGTGTTCGCTGCCGTAGCAAGAAGCGAGAAAAAAAGGCTCTCTTGGGAGGGTAGGCGAGATGGGATGGGGCCAAATAGAGCGACGGCGACGGCGTCGACAAAGGCTTCGACGGCAAGGCCGCTCCTCGGCTTGGTGGACAAGGCCTGGGGTGTCAGAGATCCCCGCTGCCACCCCGGAAGCTCAAGCCGAAGCCGAAGCCGCGGGATCTGCTGTGCTTCGCTTCCGATTCTGGAGGGTGCATAGCCGAGGGAGGATGAGCTATTTCGAGCTGCACAACATGGCTGACCGATGGCGCGGTATTTTACACCGCTGGCTGGCCCCGGGACCTCGGTCGCACTTCCATCGTTTGATCAGACGACGCTACGACGGAGGTTCGGCGGTCACCGGTTGCTCCATGCGCCCCCGTGTCTGTGCCGTCAAGGGGGATGAAATGCCGTGTCGAGGGGAAGAGATGCAACGCCTCGTCTGTCCCTTCGCTGGCAGGCTCGACGTTGCCGCCCTCAGGTCACAAAGGGGTCGACCGCAACCGCAAAAGAAGCGATCAGAGCAGAAGGATACGATAGGATGTCTATGACATGATGTGCCCGTCCCGCAACCTGCCGACGATGGCAACGACCGCTACATCTTTTCCTGTCGGCCTAGTCGTCATCTTCCGAGGCCGACACGTCTTCGTACCGCCTCTGCTGCACCGCCCCCTTCTTTCCCTTGCTTTGCTGCTGCTGCTCCTTCTTTCTCCGCTTGTCCTTCTTCTTCGACTGCGTCTTGAGCTTTTGCCCAAACGTATCGTCGCCGCCCGCTGCCTCGCCATCGTCGTCGTCGTCAAACGCAGCAGCGACGGTCTCGTCTGGTGCCATCTCAACGTCCTCGACCTCGCCTCGCTCGTCGACATCTCCCCTCTCCACCTCCTCCTCCTCGTCGTCATCGATGGGTCCGAGGATGGCGTCCATGGACCCGAGGGTAAACTCGAGCATGCTCGCCTCGATCGCCATGCGGTCGGCGCGGTTGTAGTGTCGCTCCGTGTACGGCAGCAGCCCATCAATCAGGCCAGCCAGATCTATGGCGCCCTTTCCGCTCTTGCGCAGCGCCGCTTCGCGACGCTGTCGCTCCCGCTCGCGCTTCGAGTGCGGATCGACGACACCCAGCTCGACGTCCTCGAGCCGCTGCGCCGCCTCGTCGCGCCGCGCCTGGCTCGACGCGTCAAATGCCTCAATGAGCGACGACGCGCCGTGGAAGCGCAGCACCGCATGCAGCACCGTCTGCGCCACACCCGCCGTGCGCGTAGACGTGTTCCAGTCCCGGACGAAGGCCAGCAGCTGGATCAGCTGCGAAGGCGTCAGACTGGACAGCACCTCGTCGACGGCGGCCAGGCCCGTCACGCTCGCCGCGTCCCGCTGCGCCTCGGGCGAGAGCTCCGACGCGACACCACCCTTGTTCTTCGAACCCTTCTTGCCGCGGGCGCCCACCGACGGCAGCGAGAGGACGCCGCCACGCGCCAGCGCATCGAGATTGCCGCTGCCCGGGTCGGCGGCCAAGTTCCCCGCTGTTCCGCACTGGAGCGCCGAGTCGAGCAAGAGTCCTCCCGCCGTGGCGCCGTCACCACCGTCGGGCCGCGACGCTGCGACATGGGTAAAGAGGCCGAGCAAGCGGCGCGGCTGGCCCATTTCGAGCGCAAGGGCGATGGCGTTGCGGAAGTCGCGGAGCGTGAGGTAGTTTGAAAAGTCCTGCTCGCGCAGTACCTCCTCCTCGCGCTGGCGGCGCTTTTCACTCTCGTTGATCTCAGTTGTATCGAGCCAGAAGTTGACGACCGAGTCGGCGCCCACCGACACGATGCGCGACTCGTCGCGCGTCGCCGCAATCGACCACACCTTTTCGTCGTGGCCGTCGAGGGTGTCGACGCAATCCTCTTCCTTGACGCCCCACAGCTTGACGAGGCCGTCGCCGGCGCAGCTGAGCAGCTGCATGCCCGCCGAGCAGAATTGCAGCTTGAGCACGCTGTTGGTGTGACCCTCGAAAATCTTGACGCACGTGTAGTCCTTGAGCCCCCAGAGCCGGATCGTCTTGTCGCCCGAACCCGTGGCCAGCGCCAGGTCGACGGGCGAGAAGCGCACCGACCACACGCCGCGCTTGTGGCCCTTGAGCGTCGAGAGTGGCTTGAGCGACGCCGAGGCGGTGAAGCCGTTGGACTTGGACGGTGGCGCGTAGCTGATGGCAAAGATCTTGGCGGTGCGGTCCTGCGAACCAGAGGCCAGCAGCGCATTGTTGGGCGCAATGTCGAGACTGTTGATGTCCTTGTCGTGGATCTTGAGCGTCAGCAGCGACTTGAGCCGCAGCGGCGCAGTGATAGGCGCCGCCGACGAGGGCGCCAGAAGCTCCGACAGCGCCGACAGGTCCCACAGCTTGGCGGTACGGTCCTGGCTGGCGGTGATCATGAAGGGCGCTCCGATGGCGCCGGGGGAGACCGCGCGGCGCGCAAAGGCGATGGCGCCCACACTCTCAGCGTGACCCTCGCAGACGGCAACGCAGACCCACTCGCCGCCGGTCGAGTCGCCGTCAGCATCGCCCGTGTCCCCCTTGGCGTCGCTCGATGCGGCCTTCGCCTTCTTGGTCTTCTGACCTCGCTCGACGCTCTCACCGGCAACCTCGCCGGCCGTCGCGGCATCCCCTTGCGCCCGAGGCAGCCTGGACTGGGGCACCCACGCCCAGATCCTTGCCGTGCGGTCCTTTGCACCGCTCGCCACCCATCGCGCATCGGGGGAGCGGTCGAGGCAGAGGACGACGTCCGAGTGGCCGTAGAGGAGCGAGACGTCGTGGTCCTCGGAGTCGATTGTGTAGACGCGGATCGAGCGGCTGTTTGTGGCAAGCGCGACGTGCGTCTCGCTCGCCTCGCCGCGCGCCGACAGCAGCGCCACGTCGACAATCTCGTCGTTGAAACCCACCATCTGCCGCGTCTTGGTGAGCGGCGGTAGCGCGGCAGCGGCACCGTCGGCAGTGGACAGGGCGGGAGAGAGGGAGGCGACGGAGCGCACGACAATGTTTTGATCGGCATGGACGGAGACCAGCGACGCCGTCGCAGGCAGGTAGTGGACCGCGGTGATGGCTCGTGTCTCCTCTGCATCATCGTCATCGCCGCCGCCGTCGCCGCCAGCGGTGCGGCGGGAGCGCACGCCCGCCGCGACCTCGTCGAGAGCCATCTGCTGGGTGAGGCTCCTGGGCTCGCGGCAGACGATGCTGCCGGCGACGACGTCCCACAGCTTGACCTGGCCGTTGGATCCGCCGGTGAAGAAGAGCGTCTGCCGGGGTTGCTGCCGCTGCTTGCCCTTGGGGCTGCCTTGGGGCCGTGAGAGGGAAGCGCCCCTGGCGAGGAAGCCGGCGGATTCGACGCCCTCGTTGGCGGCCAAGGTGTCGCGCTGCCTCCATCGGCCGTCGACGAGGCTCCACACGATGATGGAGTTGTCTCGCGAGCCGCTGACGAGGGTTGTGCCATCGTCGGTGACGGCGAGGCCGCGGACGACGGATGCGTGGCCATTGAGGGTGGCGACGGGTCGGTGGGTGGCCTCTGTGCGGGCGGCGAGGTCCCAGAGGCGGATCTTGCCGTCGACGGAGCCGGTGAAGAGCTCGATGCGCCTCTGTGCGGGGGTGGCGATGTTGGCCTTTGCCTTTGATTTGGCATTTGCGGCTGATTGCGCGTCGACCTCGAGGGCGGGGTCGGGCAGGTTCCAGCAGAGACCGGAAACGACTCCGCCGTGGCCACGGAAGACGTGGGTGCAGTAGCCGCCTGCAATGTCCCACACCTTTACGATGCCGTCCGAGCTTCCGGTTGCGACGAGGGTGGAGGTTGGGTCGACGAGGATGACGTTGACCTGTGCAGTGTGGGCCTTTGGAGTTGATCTGACGAGGTCAAAGGTGGGGAGGGAGTAGGTGCGGATTGCGAGGGAGCGGGATGCGACGATGAGATGGGAGCCCGAGGGGGAGATGGTGAGGGCGGTGACGGGCTCGGTGTCGCTTTCGATGCGGTGAAGGACTGCGCCGGTGTTTACGTCGAGGATGACGACCTCTTCGTCGTGGGTGGCGGCGAGCCACTGGCCGTCTGGGGTCAAGGCGATTGGCCCGCCGGTGTAAAAGGGTTCAAAGGCGCGCTCCTTTTTGAAGCTGGTCTTGATGCGATGCTTTGCGGGCGTTGCGGGCGCTGCAGGCGCTGCTGCTGCTTGTGAAATTGCCGCCGAGGAAGTGGAAGGGCCAGCGCCATTCTGCTGCTGCTGCTGCTGTGCGAGGAGCTGCTTTATCTGGTCCGGAGTGAGGACCACAGCGTCGGCCATAGTGGCAAAAGAGGGACCGGTGGACGGCGGCCGAAGGGCGATGGAGGGGCAGGGAGGGAGGTTGTAGCGGGTAGCGGCTAGAGTGATGGCCAAGGCAGCGGTAGTCTTGGTGGTGGCCGGGAGGAGGGGAGCAAAGGGAAGCCAAGGGGAGCAAGCAAAGGCGGTGGAGTGAAGACGAGGCGATCCATTCTGTGGGCGCCGCCTTCTTCTCGACCCGCAAACTTTTTCCCGGCCCTCGCTGGCCGCCAAGGCAACCATGACCGACTCCCGAGGTTTATCGATTCCCACCTCGCATCGGGCGAGGGGCGGAACGGCATCGGGGGCAAGGCGCTTTGAATTCGACAGCTGGGCTAGATTTGTAGTCACACTTGGCAGGCCCGGACTGCAGCTTTTGAATTGCAGGTCGACCGGCTGCAACCTGGCCCTCCTCCACAAGGTGCGCCGGTGGGACGTGGGACGTGGGGCGTGGGACGTGGGACGTGGGTCAGGGCGGCTCCTCTGTTGACCCGCTGGTCGGCTGACGTCGGCCCATCCACCTTACCACGACCATCCTGCCTGCCTCTCGTCGCCCCTCGCCCTCCGCAGCGCATCGTCCGACGCTCGCCTCCTACCCTCCGCTCCCTCGTCTGGACCATGGTAATCGGCATCATGCCCGCAACACTCCACACACCACCACGCCGCTCGTCGACACAGGCCCACCGCTCCCTCCTAGTCACCGCCCTCTTGCTCGCCGCATCCATCCCAACGCATTCTCTCCTGCCCCACCCCGTCGACGCCGCACAGATCCCCTTTGGCCTCACGCCTCCCTTGGCAGACCTGGCCCCGCCATCACCCGCATACCCTGCCGCCGCCGCAGCCGCCGCCACCACTTCGACCGACTTGGCCGGCCAGTCGGTCCTCCGCTATACCACCCGCTCCCACGACCAGCACTCCCGCCTCCTCCAGTGGGCACACGCAAACAACCTAGACGTATGGGCCGCCCCCAGGGGCGCACCTTGCCCACGCCCACACCAGGACCACGAGCGCCCCTCATCCACTCACGCTCCAACCTACTCGCCCCACGCCGGCTGCATCGACCTCCGCATGCCCGCCAATCGATCCACCCCCGGTTCATCCTCGGCCACGCTGCCACTGCCTCACGAAATTCTCTCCTTCCGAGGCGCAGCTCCCCTGGACTCGCCCCAGGTCCTCATCCACGACCTCGACGCCCTCGTACACAGCCAGCACCACCAGCGTCTCGAGCGCCAACGCCAGCAGCCGCCCGCCGCGCTCGCTCCACACACCCTAGACCCTGCCTGGCACGACGACTACCACAGCTTCCAGGAGATCGCAGACCACCTCCTTGATCTCGAGCACGCTTACCCCTCCCACGCACGCCGCATCCAGATCGCAACCACCCACGAGGGCCGCCCCATCTACGCCCTCAAGCTCGCCAAGCGCCAGCCAGCTCCGCCCAACGACGGCGACGACGACGGCGACGGCGATGGCGAGCTGTCACCCCAGAAAAAGAACAGCAAGAAGAACAAGGGCAAAAAGGGCGGCGACAAAAAGAAGAAGAAGAAGAAGCACCGCAAGCCGGAGCCAATCGGTATCGTCATTGCCGCCGAGCAGCATGCAAGAGAGGTGAGCAGCAGCATCAGCAGCAGCGTCAGCAGCAGCGCCAGGGCCAGCAGACCGTTGCCATGCTGACAAACTCTCCCCGTCTCTCGTCCGTTTGCTCATCTCGTCGCCCCCGCCTGTAGTGGATCTCGACGTCGACGTCGCTCTTTTTCGCCTCAGAGCTGCTCCGGTCGGCGCTGGGTAGCCCGCATCCGCAGCCTCATCCTCACCCTGGTCCCGACCCCAACCCCAACCCCGACCCCAATCCCGCCCCAAACCCTCCTCCGTCAAACTCGGACGACAACGACGATGACGACGACGAGCCTGACACGCGCCTGCCCTCGCTGCCCTGGTCGCGCAAGCAGGCGCGACGCATTCTCGAGCGCTTCAGCCTGACTGTCATTCCGCTCTCGAATCCGGACGGGTACGTGCACAGTTGGGACGAGAACCGCATGTGGCGAAAGAACCGGCAGCCAACGACGGCCGCGGGCGACGAGGCCGGCTGCGTCGGCGTCGACCTCAACCGCAACTGGGGCTTCCACTTTGATGCCGGCCTCAACCCTTGCAGCGAGGCGTATGCCGGCGACAAGGCATTCGACGCCATCGAGACGCGCGCCATGGCCCAGTACATTGACGACCCCGCCAACGGCGTCGAGGGCTTCATCGACCTGCACAGCTACGGCCAGCTGCGTGAGTACCCGGGGGCGGTCCGTTTTGCCGTCTTACTGCGGCGCCAGTCGTTTTGTTCCAAGCCAGCCGAGCGGAGCATCGAGAGTCGTGTCGTGTTTTTGTCGTGGCGCTGACCAATCGAGTCCGCCGGTCTTTTTTTTTTGCCCTCCATCGCCATCTGGTGACTCCAGTGACGTATCCCTACTCGTTTTCATGCTCTGAGGCCGTGGGCGACGAAGAGGACTTGCTCGAGGTATCGCTGGGAGCGGTGCGTGCGCTCCGAAACGTGCACAAGCGCACATTTACGAGCGGCAGGACGTGCGAAGTCGTCGGCGAGGCGGGCGGCAATGCAATCGACTGGACGTACAGCGGTATCGGTCTGCCCCTTCCTCCTCCTCCCACCACTCCCCCTCCCCCTCCCGGTCGTCGTCGTCCTTCATCCTGGATGGGCGAAGGGGAAGAGGGGAGGGGAACGGAGCCGGGTCTACCGGTACCTGGACGCAAAGTCAAGTGGTCCTTCAGCCTCGAGCTGCGCGATGGCGGGACGTACGGATTCCTCCTGCCGCCCGAGCAGATCCGTCCGACGGGCGAAGAGACGGGCGCGGCCCTCGTCTACCTCCTCGACTTTATCCACGAACGCGAAAAGGACAAGCAGAAGAGCGGACACCATCGTCTTCAGTGACGCTCCCCTTTCGATGCGGTCCTCGGTCTGGTCGGTCCTGCCCGTGCATCGACGCTCATCGGATGCAAGTGCATCCGAGCGAGGGTTCGGCCAGAGATGTGAGGGTGTCGGTTGGATCTTTGTTGTACGGCCACCTTCAGTTGACCCCTTTCCTCTGATTGCAAAAATCGTTGCGACGACCCTTCGACCGCTCTTTTCGCACCCTCGCTTCGTCCGTCTTGTGCGAGCCGATCCGGGCCGGACCGGTCGTGTCAAGTGGCTACCAGATCGTACCGTATCGTCGTACCATACCGGAATCGCGTGCGAGGCAACTGCAGAAATAGGAAGAGGCCCCGCCCTTCGCCCTTTTGCCTCCGGTCTCGACCGGTGCTACCGCCGTCTCTTGGCGACAGGAGCGCTTCCACCGCCAACGCCACCGCCACTGCCCTCGGCAGTACCTTGTGAAGAGCGACGTTTCCGTCCCCTCGTCTCTCCCTCGCCACCGCCGCCCATCGACGACTTGACAGCTCCGGATGTGGTTCGCGCTTCCGCTGCCCCGCTTCGATCGTCATCGTCATCGACGGTGAGATCAATCGTCACCCTCTCCCCCTCCCCCTCCTTGGGCCTCACTTCGTCACCGCGCAAGCCCAGACGACCGGCACCGACCTCGACGCTCGCACTCGCAAACGACGGTGACGACGACGGCGGGAGGAAGGGCACCAGGCCGCGTCGAAGGTCGCGCGCAAAGACAGGCTCGCCCGCCATCATCTCGCCGTAGTTGCGTTCGCTCTCGAGGTAGTCGGGCGGCATCGGCATGGTCGGCATCGTTGTCGCCGCGTCAGCCGTGTGGTTTGTGGCGTCGGCGTCGGCGTCGGCGGGGGCAGCTGCGTGAGGAATGCCCGTGGCGAGGGCAAATGTCGGCACCGTATCGCGCGTCACTTGAGCGCCAAAAAGCGAGAGGGGCAGCGATGTATTGGTCGAGAGCTTGCTCGGCCATCCGCTCCGTGCGCCCGGCATCGATGCCGACATCAACGTTGACGAGGCAGACGATACTTGGGCGCCGCCGCCTTCGGTTCCCGCCCCTCTCCGACCTGCTCCCTGGCCGACGGAGGCAGGCGAAGCGCCCGTGCCCTTGCTGCCGCCCGGGGCGCGCGCAGATCCGAACAGAGGGCCAGCGGCGGGTTCGACGTACTCGAGGCATTTCCACGGCCGGATCACATCGGTCGAGTACCACCCGCTTTGGATGGCCGCCGCTGTATCCGGCGTCAGAACCAGGTCGCGCATAGGGTCCGCAGAATCAAGGCTGAGCCGCAGGCGCGACATGCGCCGCGCCGCCCGCGGCTGCAGGAAGCGCATCTCCTCGAGATACCGGTCCAGCTCCGGTCCGGCCGAGGACATCACCGACGACGGCGCCTCGTCCAGGACAAGGCCGAGCGTGTCGGCGATGCGTTCAAATGCCGCCTCATCATCGACGCACACGCCCAGCCGCTGGCAAAGGGTAGCGAGCGAGCCCAGCAACCGCCCTACGTTGGCCCTGCTCGCCGTCGTCCACAGGCAACTGAACCGCAGCAGGAGTTGAAGCAGCCCGAGAGGACCGTCGACCTGCTGCTGCTGCTGCTGCTGCTGCTGCTCCTGTTGCTGCTCCTGTTGCTGCTCCTGTTGCTGCTCCTGTTGCTGCTCCTGCTGCTCCTGCTGCGCCCAGGAGTCAGCACTGGCACGGCTGCTATCGCTCAAAGATGCTGCCTCGATCCCAGCGACGGCGTGCTGGAAGAGCTGCGTCGCCGTCTCGGAATCGGATGCGGCGATGGTGAAGGCATCCTGCATCGCGGCGACGGCCTGTATCGAGGCGATGGCTGCGGCCAGGCCGTCACGAGATCCAGGCCGAGGGGGCAATGACGTTGCCGGTGCGACGAAGGCCATCGGTGGCTTGCCTGGGTCCATCGACGACGTGGAGCCGGCTGGATCCACTTCGGCACGGATGGCGCGCAACGCGGCTCGGAGACCCTCGTCAACAAACTTGGACGCCAGGCTGCCGGCCGAGGCGGCATCCTGAAGCAGCTGGCGACCAGCGGCGGGATCATCGACGAAAAAGGCGCGGTAGATGACGGCGACGAGCGATCGGATCTTCGACTCGGCGCGTAGCTGGAAGCTTGGCTCGGTTGCCGTCTGCAGGCGGTCGAAGACGTCCACCAGCTCACACACCACCACGGCAGCATTCCAGCCGTCGAGACGACGCCGTAGCATGTCTGCATCGATGCTGCCGATGTCAGCCAGCAGGAGCAGGCTGGAAGGGTCGAGCGCGGCCACCATGCCGTCAAGCACCTTGCGCCCATCGCTGCCCCAGATCAACTTGGTCGACTCCCGGACCGCGCGAAAGAATGATCGCGGGTCGCGCCGAAAGGCCGCCTGCGACTGGTCCAGCTCGAGGATGCGCTGGCACAGCGAATCTATCGGCCTGACGAGGAGACGCTGCTGCTGGTGCGGGTCCTCGAGGTCGCCGAGCCCAGGTGTCGGCGCGGGCGATGGCATCGAGGACGTAGCCGAGGCGGGCGAGGGCGCCTGATACGACGCGCTGGTCGCCTGGGCCGACACCTTGAGGAGCGCGAGCACGCGGACGAGCGACTCGAAGCCGGAGGGGGCAAAGAGGAGCGCCCGCTGTGCTCGTAGCGATTGGCGATCCGAGATATTCGTGGGGCGAGCTTCCCAGGCTGCGTCGGCGTCTTGGTCGTGGCCGGGAACAGCGACGGCACGTTTATCGTGGGCCCGGTGGTTCGCGGCAGCAGGGACGCCAGAAACAGGGTCGCGATCGCCGCCATCAACGTCCTCGTCGTCGAGTAGCAGTGTCCGCGCAAGAAGGGCCCGGCACTGCAGCAGCAGGGGCACAGCCTCGCCCGCCGAGGTTCTGGCCGGATCCGCCACGGTGTGAGCCAGACTGGTGACGAGGGGCAGCAGCAGATGCGCGACGACAACAGCCAAGCTGGCCACGCCCCGCGCGACGAGCGCAAAGACGACTCGCAACGGCAGCTCGGCGATCGAAGGTGGGAAGCCGGGAAGAGACAGCTTGACGGCCAGCGACGCCATCCAGCGGGCGTGTCGCTCGTCGATCTCGGTGGTGGCTTCGCGGTGTAGCATGTCGAGCAGCTCGACGGCGAGTTGAAATGCCCCGTCGGTCGCCGGTTCAGCGAGGCAATCGACAACGGCGAGCTCGATGATCTCATCGACCGACGCGTCGGCCCTCGTAAACAGCCGGCGCAGCTCGGACAGCGCGGCGCTGGCATCGGCGCTTGGACCGATGCCGGCTGGGACAGCGCCGATGCTGCCGCCACTGCAGCCATCGTCATCATTCCCGGTGCTGGCATGGACAACGTGTGCGCTGCGACGCCGAAAGACTTCCTGGCACAGGGCTACCTCGCCGTGGTCGGGGACGGCCTCGCACGGGGCCGCCGTGCTGCGCCGCCGAGACGTCTGGCCGGCCAAGGTCGCGATCGCGCACGACTCCCGCAGCCGCTGCAGCGCATTGGACGCCAGAACGGCCAGGCGGACGTCGCGGTTGGAGCTGGCGTGATTAAGCTGGCGGCGCACGAGCATGACGAGTGTCGGCAGAGCGTCGAGGCCATGCCAGATGGCGTGGTGTTCGATCAGCAGGTCGTAGATGGTTTTGGCGACTGGTGCTGGCAGCGAGCGCGGCTGGAGGAGGAGAGATACCAAGAGCTGAAGCAGGCTTTCAAAGTCCTCTGCCCGCACCATGACGGCGGCCATCACGCAAAGGCGGTCACGCGAAAGCGATCCCGGACCGCCGGTGGCAGCCCGCGGCAGGATGCGCGATCGCAGCAGCTTGACCCTGACATGCCGCGAGGCATTCCAGAGATGCGGCAGCGCGGCCTGGATCCTGCGGCAATCAAGTGGCCCAACCCTCGCCTGCTCCTGATCCGCGGCATCGTCGTTGAACGCGGCGCGGCCGTCCTGGGGCCTCGACCGTTCGCCCTCGGCATCGTCGTCAAACAGCCAGGGCAGCAGCTGCTGGAGCTCTCGCAGCGCGCGCCGCTCGGTGGCTTCTTCGTGCGTCTCTCTGGGTCGGTCGCCGTAGATGGCCATCCGCCGCTGCTGCAAGATGGCGGGCGTGTCTTCGTAGAGCGGAAGAGCGCGCAGCAGGCGCAACTGCAGCGAGTCCGTCGAAACGGAGGAGGCCGGGGCTGCGTTTGGCCCATTCGTCCCGGGTGGGCCATGAGGCTCATCGGTCGCCGCCGCGACGCCTTCGCCAGAAGGGCTTGGCTGTGCCGTGATGCCTCGTGCAATTAGCCTCTGCATGAAGCGGCTGTATTTGAAGAGTCCCCGGCGCGCGAGCTCGCCAAAGACGACCATGATCGAACGTGGGTCGCACGAGGCCAGCGCCTCTCTCCGGCGCTCTGCTGCTTCAGCGCTGATGACGCTGCCTATCCCTTGTGAGCCCATCGATGCGGTCGGTACTGCGGCCTGGGTCGCAGTCGCAGCTTCAACATCGCTAAGCCACTTGAGCAGCGCCGGCTCGACGTTGGCTTTTGTCCGTCTGCGCTTCTGCTTGGTGGAGAGCGGCGGCGGGTCGCTCGCGTTGGCCATCCAGGACGCCTGCTGGCCGTCACTCTGTCGGCTGGTTTCGCCATACTTGATCCTCTCGATCAGTGATGCGGCCAGGTACTGCCGATGCACGCCACGACGCCAGCTGGTACAGGCCCAGGTGAGGACCGTGTCGACCTTTTCACCGACCGACTGGACCTTTGGCGGTGCGAGGGACGACGAAGTCGCAGCGACTGCTGAGTAGCTGGCGCCGGCGTTGGAGGCAGCCTGGTGAGAGACAAGGGCGTCGATGGCCAGGCCGTCAAGGTCCATAGCGTCAAGATTCTTGATGTGTTGCGCAATGGGCATGGCGGCTGAGGCGGCGGCTGTGGAGGCGGAGCTGCTGCCGCAATTCGCCTTATGGGTTCTGCACCCCTTGCTACACTTGCACTCGGCAGCAGCGGGAGCATGATCGAGCATGTCGACGTAGCTGACCAGCGAGAGCTTGGAGATGCGGTCTGCGATGCGCTGCAGCGTCGCCTCTAACCGCGCCAGCCGATGAACGTCGTGCGAGCAGCCGAATGCGACCGATTCGGACACGGTCGACTGGTGGGCGTGCCAGAGCCGCGGACTGACAAGCGCCTCGGGCACCTGTTCGAGCACAAAGATGAGCAGTTCACACAAACGGCCGCGCAGCGCCGAGATGGCCGACGGGTTGTAGCGTGTGTCGAGCTGGGAGAGGCGTGTGCAGAGCGCCGAGACGAGCGCGAGGGCGAGAAACCGGCGCTGGACGATGAGCCTGGCGCCTTCTTCGACGAGCTGGAGCAGGAACCAGACCTGGGCTAGGTTGCAGCTGCCGAGTGCCTCGACTGTCCAGCGGAAGAGGGTGGTGCGATCGAGGAGCTGCTGAGCGCCGAGGTGACGCGTCAACGAGAGGCTGTAGGTCCACTTTGCCGCCCAGCGCTCTGCCTCGGCCTCATTTTCCAACACGGCACAGTGATCGCGGACAGCAGCAGCAGGAGCAGCGGCAGCGGCGGATGCAGTCGCAGGCGTGCCAGCATGCGGGGCTGGCGAGGGAGAGGGATGCGACCAGACCGTGGAAGAAGGCGCCACGGATGGTCTGGCGTGAGGGTGCGAAGCGCCGCTGCTGGTCCCGCCGCCCACTCCTGCGGGCGTCCTGGGTTGGAAGTAGCCGGGCGATGGTGTGGCGGGTGAGGCAGCACCGAAGGGCGCAGAGTTGGCGAGTGGAGTGCCCGAGGCGGTGGCGGCGAAAGCCGAAGTGTTTGGCGGAGCGGCGTTGGGATTTCCGGCGGTGCAGCTGAGTTCGCTGATCTGCCGGTTGAGCCAGGAACAGAGGCTGGTCGTCATTTCCACGGCATAGGTTGCGCTCGTCTTGCTTCGCGCCGATTGGATTTCTGCGGCTCCGACGGCGCGGACGAACCACAAGGCGCGCGGGATGGCGACGCAGCTGCGCCTAGGCGGCAAGGAAGCGGCCCGCTGGGGCTGGTTGTGATTGTGATGGAGTTGGCCAGACGAGCTCGGACTGCCGGTGGCCGAGGCCGTGGTGCTGTTGCTGCTGGTCGTCGCCGTCGCCGCCGCCGCTGCAGAGGCAGAGGCTGCCACCCTAGAGGCGAGGTTGGCACGGCTGGCGCTGACGTTGTGGGTGGCAGCCGATGAGCTGCCCGCTGGCAGCGAGACGCCGCCAACGCCTCCACCGCTGCCGCCCGCTCCCCCGCCGCCGATGCTGGCTGCAGTGCCAGCGCTGCCGCCAGACCAGAGCATCTCGAACATTTTCTCGCCCTTGAAGCCGTGGGGTACGGATCGTGAAAGGCGGTGGAGGGGGACGTGCGGATCTGCGAGGTCCCTGACGTAGTTTGCCAGCTTAAGCTCGTTGAGGGTGACACGCGAAGGTGGCTTGTGCTGCGAAGGGGCGATGCGGTTGCGCTCGAGGGCGGATCTGCGTTGTAGGACGTCGTTGAGAGAGAGGTCGAGGTTGCGCAGCAGCTCTTTGCCCAGCAGCAGCTCTCCCGCCACCTCGGAGCCCAGCAGCGCCTCGTTGGCGATGCTGAAGCTGCATTGGAATCCGCTGCGCACCGTCGCCTGGCTGAAGTCGTCCTCGGCCTGGCCGACTCGTGTCGGAAACAGGTCCGGCACGCCCGGGCGCGCAGAGGTGGGATGCAGACGCGGACGCCAGGCGGGCGGCTCAAACTCGTAGGCGGCGGGACGGGCCGCATCGGTCGCGGATGCCGCCGCAGAGTTCGCATCGGCGAGCATCGCGCCTCTGCCGCTCGTTGATGTGCTCGCCGTCGGGCGGGCCGATGAGGCGGCATGCTGCGGCTGGTGCGCCATGGCAGCAAGTCAGCCGACCCTGGTCCGGGCTGTCTCGGCTCTCCCGAGCGCCGAGCGGTGGTCGAAGCGCAAATGCGAAAGGATTGAATCAGAAGACAGGTCCGAAGGTGAAGCACAGATGTGGGCAGGCGGGCTGAGCAAGCGGTTGGATGAGCATCCCGGGCGTCTTGTGGTGCGGCCGTGGAGCAGAGGCGAGCGCAGAGACCCAGCCCCGCCTAGCGAGGGGTCATAGTTGCAGCGATGCAAACGAGGGCTGGGCAGAGACGCTGAGCGAAGAGCGATGCGAATAATGCGGCTGTGGAAGAAGACGGTGGTGGTGACGGTGACGGTGACGGTGACGGTGGTGGTGACGGTGGCTATTATGGCGGTGATGGTAGGTGGGCAAGGCGGTCAGAGTGAGGGCGGAGCTTCCAGTCCGCCAGCGGCAACCAAAAGGTCCGAGCGCGCATCGGCCGACCCTCGCATCGGGACGTGGAGGGTGCTTTGAGCCACGCCATCGAACTCGCATCCCCCGATCCAGCGTGCAACGCCTTGGCCCGATCTGGAGTTTTCGCCGGAGCTCGGGTGGCCAGCTGTGACTCTGCCCGCCTGCTTGCTCCTTGCCTCGAGGCCAAGCAGGAAGGCAGGCAGGCGGGCAGGCGAGCTGGCAGCGGCATGCGGTCAGAGGAAAAAAAGACGACCACGAGAGGATGCGCAGCCCGACGCAACCCTCCCACACCACCACCATCGCCACCACCACCACCACCACCACCACCACCACCACCACCCTCAAGCCCCCCGCCCTATTTCGACGCTCTGTCCTCGTGAGCTTCGACACCGAACACACGGCCTCTTCAGTCTCTGCGGCCGCCCGCACCTGCGACGACGACTTTCGGCAAGACGACGTCCCTCCGCCCTTCTGCGCGCTGCCTCTTGGCACACTCGTCGAGTCGCTCTCGCCCCGCTCTCCTCCACCTCGCTACCGCCTCGGCCGCGCTTGGCCTTCGTCCCCAACCTCGCCCTCTCAGACCTCTGGCTGTGGGATCTTCGGAATCATTCTTCTCCTCAGGAGCAGCTGCAGCAGCATCAGCAGCCTATAGCCCTTTTCCCTCCGCCACCATGCCACCAAAAGATGCCAGCAAGGATGCCGGGCCCATTCAGCTCGAAAACGTAAGTGACCCTCGGCTTGCTTCCGTCCCCACCGCTTCCTTCCTTGTTCCCCCGCTCATCGTACGCCAGGACTGACACTGGTTGAATCATCCCCTCGCCTGTCTCGCCCACTTCGCAACCCTGCTGGCCCGACCCCCTCCCGCAGACGTCCAAGCGCGACTTCCTGACCAAGCTCGAGCGCGAGACGCAGCAGTTCTGGGCCGACCAAAAGGTTTTCAACGTCGACGCGCCCACCGAGGACGATGGTCTGCGCGACCTCACCCCCGAGGAGGTCCGCGCAAAGTACCCAAAGTACTTTGCCACCATCCCCTACGCCTACATGAACGGATCCCTGCACCTCGGCCACGCCTTCACCCTCTCCAAGGCCGAGTTCGCCGTCGGCTACGAGCGCCTGCAGGGAAAGCGCGCCCTTTTCCCCTGGGCCTTCCACTGCACCGGCATGCCCATCCGCGCCGCCGCAGACAAGCTCGTCCGCGAGATCGAGCTCTTCGGCCCCGACTTTTCCGGCTACGACCCCGAGGCCGCCGTCGCTGCTGACGACGATGCCGCTGCCGCCGCCGCCTCCTCGGTCAACCCGCCGCCGCCTCCGCCCACGGCCAACACGTCGAGCGCCACTACCACCAATGTCGCCAAGGCGACCAAGGGCAAGCTGGCGGGCAAGGACACCGGCCTCAAGTACCAGTTCCAGATCATGGAAAACAGCGGTGTACCTCGCGAGGAGATCGCCCGCTTCGCCGACGCCCAGTACTGGCTCAAGTACTTCCCCCCGATTGCCAAGGCCGACTGCACCTCGTTCGGCTCGCGCATCGACTGGCGCCGCGCCTTTGTCACCACCGACGTCAACCCCTACTACGACAGCTTCGTGCGTTGGCAGATGAACAAGCTGCACGCCATGGACAAGATCAAGTTCGGCGAGCGCTACACCATCTACTCGCCCAAGGACGGCCAGCCCTGCATGGACCACGACCGCTCCGAGGGCGAGGGCGTCGGGCCGCAGGAGTACACCGGCCTCAAGATGGAGCTGGTGCAGTGGGGCGCGCTGGCCGCGCCCGAGCTCGACGCCAAGCTGCAGGGCAAGCGCGTCTTCTTTATCGCCGCAACGCTGCGCCCCGAGACCATGTACGGCCAGACCAACTGCTACGTGGGCCCGCAGATCGACTACGGCGCCTACGAGATCAATGACACCGACGTCTTCATCTGCACCGAGCGCGCCGCCCGCAACATGGCCTTCCAGGGCGTCACGGCCGAGCGCGGCCGCGTCCACCGCATCGCCGGCGTCAAGGGCGCCCAGCTCGTCGGCACCCTCATCAAGGCGCCCAACGGCCACTACCCCGAGGTCTACGTGTTGCCCATGGAGACGGTCCTCGCCACCAAGGGCACGGGCGTCGTCACATCGGTCCCCTCGGACTCGCCCGATGACTACGCCACGCTCATGGACCTCCGCAAAAAGGCCGAGTACTACAAGATCGACCCAGCTTGGGCCAGCCTCGAGCCGCTGCCCGTCATCAGCACGCCCGGCTACGGCGACCTGATTGCGCCGACGCTCGTCAAGCAGATGAAGATCCAGTCGGCCAAGGACAAGGTCCAGCTGGCCGAGGCCAAGGAGATCGCTTACAAGGAGGGCTTCTACTCTGGCACCATGCTCGTCGGCAACTTCAAGGGCCTGCCCGTGCAGGAGGCCAAGAACCAGGTGCGCGACGAGATGATGGCCGCCGGCCTCGCGTTTGCCTACGCCGAGCCCGAGGGCAAGGTCGTCAGCCGCAGCGCCGACGAGTGCGTCGTCGCCCTCTGCGACCAGTGGTACCTCGACTACGGCGAGGAGTCGTGGAAGGCCAAGGTCAACAAGCTCTTTGCCCAGATCAACTGCTTCCAGCCCGAGACCAAGAACGCCTTTGAGGGCGTCGTCGGCTGGCTGCGGCAGTGGGCGTGCGCCCGCAGCTACGGCCTCGGCTCCAAGCTGCCCTGGGACCCGCAGTACCTCGTCGAGAGCCTGTCGGACTCGACCATCTACATGGCCTACTACACCATCGCCCACCACCTCCAGGGCGGCGTCGAGGACGGCAGCACCGTCGGGCCCAGCGGCATCGCCGCCGACGACCTCACCGACGCCATGTGGGACTTCCTGTTTGGCGACGCCCCCTACCCGGCCGACACCAAGGTGCCGCGCGAGCGCGCCGAGGTGCTGCGCCGCGAGTTCCGCTACTTCTACCCGATGGACCTGCGCTCGTCGGGCAAGGACCTCATCCCCAATCACCTCACCTTCTGCGCCTACGTCCACGCCGCCATCTTCCCCGAGCACCACTGGCCGCGCGCCTTCCGCGCCAACGGCCACCTGATGCTCAACGGCAAGAAGATGTCCAAGTCGACGGGCAACAGCCTCACCCTGCGCCAGTCGGTCGAAAAGTTTGGCGCAGACGCCACGCGCCTGTCGCTCGCCGACGCCGGCGACGGCATCGAGGATGCCAATTTCGAGGAGAAGACGGCCAACGCCAACATCCTGCGCCTCCACACCCTCATCGAGTGGTGCAACGAGGTGACGTCGGACAAGGCGCGCGCCAAGATGCGCACCGGCCCGCTCGACTCGTTCTGGGACCGCGCGTTTGACAACCAGATCAACTCGCTGCTCCGCCAGACGACCGAGTGCTACGACCGGGCTCTGTACAAGGATGCGATGAAGTACGGCTTCTACGAGCTGCAGACGGCGCGCGACCTGTACCGCGAGGCGACGTCCGACGTGGGCATGCACGCCGAGCTCGTCTCGCGCTGGATCCGCGTCCAGGCGCTCACCATCACGCCCATCGCACCCCACTTTGCCGAGCACGTGTGGCGCACCTGCCTCGGCGAGACGGGCTCGGTGCAGGCGGCCCGCTGGCCGCAGCCGTCGCGCGACGTCGACGCCTCGGTGTCGTCGGCGCTCGCCTACGTGTCGGGCACGGTCAAGACGCTGCGCGACGCCGAGATTGCGCTGGGCAAGAAGAAGGCGCCCAAGGGCCAGCCCGCCGCCGACGCCAAGAAGTACAACGACCGCCAGCCCAAGGAGTGCCGCGTGTTTGTGGCGCAGAGCTTCCCCGACTGGCAGACGCGCTGCGTCGAGCTGATCCAGGCCAACTTTGACGCGGCCAGCTCCAAGGTCGACGACAAGGCGGTGCGCGAGGCGCTGGCCAAGGAGGGCATGCTCAAGGACAAGAAGGTCATGAACTTTATCGTCGGCTTCAAGAAGCGCATCGACGAGTTTGGCGCCGAGACGGCTTTCAACCGGCGGCTGCCGTTTGATGAGCGCCAGACGCTCGAGGACGCCAAGGCCTACCTCAAGAAGACGCTCGGCTTCCGCGAGGTGCACATAGTCGACAAGGACGAGGCCATGGCTAAGCCGGACGAGTTTGACGACAAGATTGTCGAGATCTCGGAGCCGGGCGCGCCCAGCTTTGCCTTTTGGAACGTCGAGTAGGGCGGCGAGGCGAGGCGGGGCGAGGCGAGGCCCAGAGGAGGTGGCCTCGCGCGAGGACACAGCGTTGATCGAGACGTGGTAGACTGCGCCCCCGGCAGATTGTTGTTCGCATCGCGGTCGTCGTCATGGCCGTTGGCGTGACGCTCGGCGTCGGTGCTAGAGGTGCTTGCAAAGGAAGGAGAAAGAAGACCAACGTCGCCACCAAGTGCGGCAGGCATGTGTGCGTGTGCGTGCGTGTGTGTGTGCGTGTATGCGCTCGCTCGAGGCGGAAAGTCTGGGGGGCGGTGAGCAAAGCGCAGAGGTTGACGGATGCGCAGGAAGCCCAGCCGGGTCGAAGCCGCTGGCGAGTGGCGGTGTGGCACCCTCTGCACGAGCTGCTTTGCGAAGGCAGACAGACTCTCGGCAGTCCTCTTGCCGTTGCAAAAACAGGGACTCGGATGGAGTAGGAAGGAAGCAAAGAGGATGCCCGGACGGATCGACGCTCCTGGGGAAGGAGCGTGGGGCGGATGTCACGGCAAGGCGGCGGCAGCCGCAGTGCCTAGAGACGCGCGCTACAAAAGGCCATCCTTGGGCCGCGCGTGCTACGGGATCCGTGGGGCGGACAGGAAGCAAACCGGCGGCAAAGGAGATCCTCCGCACGGCCTGCGTGGGGGCGACAAGCAAGGGTAGGGCGGGTGCGGGGCAAGTTGGCCGGCCACCGACCACATGCTGAGGCATCGGTGCGTATCATCTGCCGGCGGGTTGCGGCGCAATGGCAGCGACAGGCTGCCGTCACATACGGTTGCCCCGCACTACCGGTATGTAGCTTTACCCTCGATGCAGAGAGGTGGCCGGTCAACAACGACCCACGCCGCCACGCGACCCGCGCCCTCTCGCTGCCTGTCGACTGGCGAGCAAATATACATGCATAGACGAAACGCAGCGGCCATACACGCCATATGCATACATATGCAGTCGACATCCCACGCGCCCCCGTCGTTAGCGCCTCTCGGCTACATCCTGATTCTCTGCCCAATCACCGGCTAACGCTGCGCTACTCTGCCTTGAGCTTGCCCGGTTGGCTTGTCCCCTGACCACTTTTGTCCATCGCGCCAACTGCCCTACGTGCCCTACCGCGCACTCCTGCTTCCGTCCGTCCGAGGGCCGAGCATGCTGCGCCTGCGCAGAGGACGACGGGCTGATTGCGCCGGGGCACCGCAAATGCAACCAACCAATCCTCCCTGGTCCTCGACCAAGCGCAACCGCCTATAAAGCCAAGCAGAGCATGCCACGCCCACCCTTTGTTGCCACATCCCTCAGCCCCTTTCCCCCTCTTGTCATCAACAAGGAAGCCATTCATCGACGATGCAGCTCCCTCGCTCCCTCGCCCTCGCCCTCTCCCTGTGGGGCCTCGCACTGGGCGCCGTCGCCACCACCGCCTCGCCCCTCGCCACGCGCCAGGCTCCCGCCGCCGCTGCCGACGACCCGACGACGACCGTCAGCTCGCTCAACTGCGCGCCCAAAGACGGCTGCACCAACCTGGGCAACTCGCTCGACCCGCTCGACCCGGCCGCCATCGCAAACGACCCCGTCGTCCGCCTCCGCAACGGCTCCTATGCCGGCGTCCGCCTCGAGACGGTCGATGCACAGGCCACGCTCTCCAGGTTTGGCATCAAGCATGGCGCCCAGGACCTCTTCCTCGGCATGCCCTTCGCCCAACAGCCCACGGGCGACCGCCGCTTCAGGCGTCCGCAGCGCCTCGCCGCCAACCACACCTGGCAGGGCGTCCGCAGCGCAAAGAGCTACTCGCCCGCCTGCTACACGGTCGGCATCGACAACGACTTTGCGCCCCCCTTTGTCACCTACCGCGCCGGCGAAGACTGCCTCACCGTCAACGTCGTCCGACCGGCCAGCGCCAGCGCCAGCGACGCCAACAAGGGCAAGCTGCCCGTCTTTGTCTGGATCTACGGCGGCGGCTTCAACATGGGCTCATCGGCAGACCAGCGCTACAACGGCTCGTTCCTCGTCGACCAGTCGGTGGGCATGGGCAAGCCCATAATCTTTGTCTCGCTCAACTACCGCACCGGCGCCCTCGGCTTCCCCGTCGGCGACGTGGCCGACAGGGAGCGCATCACCAACCTCGGCCTGTACGATCAGCGCGTCGCCCTGCACTGGATCCGCGACAATATCCCCGCGTTTGGCGGCGATCCCGATGCCATCACCATCGCCGGAGAGTCGGCCGGCGGCGCAAGCATGCTCTTCCACAACACGGCGTACCGCGGCCGCGACGATGGCCTCTTCTCGCGCACCATCGCTCAGAGCTCCTACTACGCCACCCAGCCGCGCTCGCAGTTCTACACTGACCAGCTCAACGGCTTCTGGACCAACTATACCCAGGCAGCCGGATGCGCGCGCGACGACCTCGACTGCCTCCGCCGCCTGCCGCTCGGCGACCTGGCCAAGGTCTCGTTGAGCCCGGCGTACTCGTTCCCGGCTGCGCTGTGGAACCCGCAGGTGGACGGGGAACTGGTGGCCAAGGACCTGCAGAGGTCGTTCCTCGACGGCGACTTTGTCAAGGGCAAGCCCATCATCCTGCACAACAACATCAACGAGGGCCTGTCGTTTGGCGTGCGCGGCGTCAACACGTCGCAGCAGATCATCGACGCCATCATCGACAAGAACGGCCTCGGTGGCGACGACCGCTTCACCAAGGCGGCGCAAATGGCACTCCTCGAGGCGTACCCTGACGAGGAAGGGCTGTGGCCGCCGTACCAGGCGGGCGACGGCCTGCTGAGCCTTTCGGGCCGCCAGGACCGCCGGTCGTGCGCCATCTTTGGCGACCTGCGCATGGTGGCCCCGCGGCGCGAGGTGGCCGAGCTGCTGTCGTCGCCCCAGTCGGGCGCCGGCAACGTCTACGTCAGCCGCTTCGACCAGGCGCAGTATAATGCCACCATTGACGGCGTCGCGCAGCACTTTGCCGAGGTCTGCTACGTCTTCCGCAACCCGCTAGCCACGCAGAACGCCTTGGGTCCCGCCCGGCGCGACATCGACCTGGCCGACGAGATGGCGGGCTACTGGATCTCATTTGTGACGACGGGCGACCCCAACGCCGTCAAGGGCCGGCAGGGCGCTGATGGCGGCGGCGGTGCGGCGGCGGCGACGCGCCCGCAGTGGCCGCGCTACGACGCCGGTGGCAAAAAGCACCTGCGGTTCAAGAACAGCCCGACGGGAGAGCGCACCGAGGTGGTCAAGGACAGCTACCGCCCCGAGGGGATCCGCATGCTCAACGAGGTGCGCGCCGGCACCTGGAAGCCCAAGTCGAAGCGCGAGGAGCTGTAGCGCGCGCGGTCCGGGCGGCAACCTCGCATCGCATCGTAGCGTATTGCATACCTCGCGGGGCGGAATCGCCTCTGCAGAGGTTGATAGTATCAGAAACGAAATGAAGAGACTCATAGCTAGCAGCAGGATCTGGTCAAAAAAAAATCGCACATGTATAACAATCTGAAAATCCAGCTGCAGCCAGCTTGTGCAATTTCTCAGATCGCAGCAGGCGTGCGATCAGCTGCGATCTGAGATCCTAAGATTTTCCTGCCTGCGATCTGAAATCCACTCATAGTGGCCAGGATTTCAGATCGCACTTGTATAACGACTCTCAAATCCTGGATCGCACAGCCTGTGCAATAGGAAAAATCGGGAATTCCTTTTGCTGCTAGCTATGCCTGCTGCTAGCTATGCCTGCTGCTAGCTATGAGTGTCAGCAGATGGCAACTGTGTGCGGACAGCTTTGTGACTCAAGCAAACAAGAAGAGGCTGGCGTTGTATGGGTGGTGGTGGCAAGTTGGCAATCATAGCTAGGGGCAGGCTTTGTCCTACTATTTTGGAAATTGGAGATGATCTACAAAAGTGCAGTGCCGTAGGAGATCGTTACACCCCTACAATTTTTGGCCGTAGATCACCTACGGCATATTTTGCCATAGGGGTTCCCTCGCAGTGCTTACTGTAGGCCTACCTTTGCACCCACAGCCGTATGTATTCTACCGGCATTGTATTGCAAAATCTAGTTACACTGATGTGCGGCGGCGCGGCGATGGCATTGGTGGGTGGTGGGGCGAGCATGCAGGAAGGCAGGCAACAGCGCAGCAGCAGGCAACAGCGGCTGAGCATTGTTGCAGCAAAGAAGGGCGGTGAGGGAGGTGCAGGCAAAAGGGAGACAGGAGCGAAGGAGTCAGCAACGGCAATCAGCAGAGCGGCAGACATAGCTAGCAGCAGGGTCGGGCCCAATTTTGATCGTACGCAGGCTACAGTCTGAAATCGGGCATCGACCCCTGTCTACGATTTTTCCGATGTGCAGCCTGCCTACGATCTCAAATCGGGCATCGATGCCTGTGTACAAGTTTTTTGGGCGCGCAGCCTACTTACAATCTAGCTACAATCCAAAATTGTAGCCTGCCTGCCTGCCTGCCTGCCTGCCTGCCTGCCGCCCGACGCTTCTGCACAGTCAATGGCCGTCAATCATCAGAATCTTCAGAGGCCGGCCTCCGAGGATTCCAATGATTGAGCTGCTCTTCTGCCCAGCTTCCGCCCTGCCTGCCAGCTTGCCAGCCAAGCCAGCCAGCCAGCAGGGTGGGTGGCTGGCAGGCTGGCTGGCAGGCTCGGGCGGGTGCGCGGGTGGGCCAGCTGGCTGGCTCAGGGGCCGGCCGGCTGGCATGGCTGACTTATGACTAAGCTTGTGCGCGCGCAAAAAAAAGTGGAGGCCAGGCCACACCGCCACCTGCGTGCGTGCTCACGCAGGCTCGCTGGCTGGCCTGCGTGTGTGCTCACGCAGGCAGGCAGCCTGCCTGACCGCCTGCCTGTCCGCCAGCGTGGCCTTGCCCGCCCGCCTGCCTCGGTATAAAGTCTTGCCCGCCGTCCCTCCTTCCCTTCTGACCACTACCATCGACCCTTGCCTGCCATTGACCCTTGCGCGCCATCGGACCTTTGCCTGTCATCAACCCTTGCCTGCCATCGGACCTTTGCCCACCGCCGCCACCCAACCGCCGTCAGCCCTTGCTCGCTGCCATCGGCCCAATTGACCTCGACGCCACCGACAATCACCTTCCCCAGCCGCCTCACCCTGCCACCATTGATGCCAACTCGCCGCTACTGCCAACGCCAACTCGCCTCCACAGCCCACACAACAAAGACCGCCTCTCGCTAGCATGAGTCACAAGCTGTACGCGCGCGGTCCCTACCTGCTGATCTGGGGCGCTGACAGCGATCTCTGCTTGTCTCCCGCCGCATACACAACAATGCCACCTACGGACAACTGCCACGCACCTAGCAGATCATCGGCATGTCAGCAGGTGAGTCATAGCTAGCAGCAGAGTCAACCTACGATCTGGCAGATTGTAGACAGGCGTACCCTCATAGCTAGCGTCAAAGGGCAGGTGGGATTTGGCCGTAGGCCAACCTACGGCCTGAAATCGGGGAATCGGGGATCATCTACGCTGAAAATGGCCGTAGGGCCCCCTACGGATGGAAATTGGGGTTGTAGGGCCACCTACGGCCATTTCCTGAGGGGCAGCTACGGCATTTTTGGCCGTAGGGCTGCCTACGGCCCTGCGCCGGCCCTACCCTGCGCAGAAAATGGCACTTTTTGCTTACGTCAGCACAGGAGGCCCTGCGCGCGCGCGCTGGCCCCTTTGCCACCCGGCCCTTTGCAAAATCCATCCGCCGCCCACCCACCAACCTCTCCGTCCTAACCACCACCACCCGACGCCACCTGCCAGCCAGCCGCCAGTTGCCGACCCAGGCCAGCTGCAAGGCCCTGCGAGCACCTGCCAGCACCCGCCAGCACCACCAGCCAGCCGCGCCACCACCCAAGCCAGCCAGCCGTCAGTCCAGCACAGCCGCTAGCTCAGCGCAGCCGTCAGTCCAGCGCTGCCGCCCACTCAGCGTACCCGCCAGTCAGCTAGCCGCCAGCCAGCCGACAGCGCAGCGCAGCCAGCAGCCAGCCAGGCCGCCAGCCAGCCAGCCAACTGCAGCCACCTTGCTGCTTGCTTCCGCCCAACCACCTCGCCGCTGCTTCCGCCTGCTTCTGCCTGCCGCCACCTCCGCCATCAATTGTCGGAGACTTTGGAGAGGCCTCTCCAAAGTCTCTGACGATTTTGGCCATTCACGGCCTTGCTTCCGCTCCGCCGCTGGTCTGCTGCCGCTCTGTCTGCTGCCGCTCTGTCTGCTGCCGCTCTGGTGAGTCCTATGCTCTGTCTGCTGATGTCCACCTCCCTGCTGTGCCCTTCCTTGCCTCTGCGCTGCCCTTACGCCACGCTCAGCAGCAGCAGCAGCAGTAGAAGCACGATGTGTGTTTGCCTCTCAGCATGTGAGTTTGCTGTTGCCGCTTTCGTTCTTCTGCCGCTCTGCTGCACGCCGTTGCTGACTCCTTCGCTCCACTCTTCCTTTTGCTGCCCCTCTCTCACCGCCTCACTTTGCTGCTGACGCTCTACCACCGTTGCTGCTGCTGCGCTGCCGCCCTGCCTTCCTGCCTGCTTGCCCTGCCACCCACCAATGCTGTCGCTGCGCCGCCACGTATCAGTGTAACTAGATTTTGCAATACAATGCCAGTAGGGTATACGGCTGTTGAGTGCGGAGGTAGGCCTACGGTAAGCAGGCCGTAGGATGCCTACGGCCAAAAATGCCGTAGGCCCACCTACGGCACCCAGGGGTTGTAGGGGATTAACGATGTCCTACGGCACTGCACTTTTGTAGATCATCTCGATTTCCGAAATCGTAGGCCAAAGCCTGCCCCTAGCTATGCCTGTCTACGATTTTCAGATCGTAGCAGATCCTTCTACACAAACGATTTCTGGATGCAGACAGGCCGTGCTGATTTTTAGATTGTATACTAGCTACGATTTTCAGATCGTAGCTAGACCGGTCTACCTACGATTTTCGCATCGTAGCCAGGCAGCGATCAGTTGCATCAGGTACTAGCTTCGATTGCAACAGCTATCTGCGCTACTAGTACAATTGCGGGGGCAAGCGTTCGACTGCAGAGCATGGACAGAAGGGGAGGTGGAGAGGAGGTGAAAATAGGGAATGAGGCAGAAACCAAGGCCATCATCAGCATCGTTGACTGGCGGCAGCACCTGCGCCAGCAAGGAAGCACTCACAGCGAGGGCAGACCGGGATCGGCGTCGATTTGGTGGCGGCGGCTGCTGGTGAGACGGGGAGAACGAAGGAGCATTTGTGCCAGGCGCAGCGTTGTCAATGCGGTAGATGCGACGGAATCAAAAAGACCGACTCAAATGCTGACATCTTGATGATCCACGGAGCACGTGGTGTGGCAATCGTCCGTAGGTGTGTTGTCGTATATGCTGCAGGGAGGCAAAGATGCAGCAGAGAACCTGCGTCAGTGCACAAGATTGGCAGATGGGGACTGCTCGGGCAGACCGCGTTGTGACTCACGCAAGCAAGGCGGTCTTTGTTGTGTGGGTGGTGGCGGCTGGGCGGTTGCGGCGAGTTGGCGTTGATGTGGTGGCAAGTTGGGTTTGGTGGCAGCAAGCCGACGGTGGCAGTAGCGGTGGCGGCAAGCCAACGATGGTGGTGGCATCGGCGCAGAGCGCAGCTGGAAAGGGGGGGGGGGGGTACGAGGCGGCTGGGGCGGATGCCGGCAGGTAGCATCGATGCCGGTTGGGTGGCGGCGGTGGGCAAAGGACCGGTGGCAGGTGAGGGTCGATGGCGGGCGAGGGTTGATTGCGGTCGGGTGGCGGCGTTGGGCAAGGGCGGATGGCGGGCAAAGGGTCGCGGGAAAGGAGCGATGGTGGAGCGGGGCTAGACTTTATTTTGAGGCCATGCTGGCAGGCGAGGCCCAGCTGGCGGGCGGGCAGTCAGGCAGAGGGCGTGTGCGCGTGAGCACGCACGCAGAACAGGCAGCAAGCCTGTGTGAGCACGCACGCAGGTGGCGGCGTGGCCTGACCTCCACTTTTTTTTTGCGCGCGCGCAAGCTTAGTCAGCTGCGCCAGCCGGCCGGCCCCTGAGCCAGCCAGCCGGCCCACCCGCGCACCCGCCCGAGCCTGCCAGCTCGCCCAGCCCCCAAGCCTGCTAGCCAGCCTGCTTGCCCGCCTGCCCGCCCAAGTTAGCCAGCCGGCTTGACTGCTCGCTGCGGAGCAGAAGCGGAGGCGCAGCCGTCAATCATCGGAATCCTCGGAGAGCTCGACTGTGCGGAGGCGTGGCGAGGCGGCAGGCAGGCAGGCAGGAAGGCAGGCAGGCAGGCAGGGTGGGTGCGTGGCTACAATCTTGGATTGTAGCTAGGCCAAATTTCGGATTTCGGATTGTAGCTAGTCGTAGGTAGGCTGCGCATCGAAAAATCGAAGATAGGGTTCGATGCCCGATTTCCGATCGTAGCCAGGCTACGATCCAAATTGGGCCCAACCCTGCTGCTAGCTATGAGTCGCCCTTTCTGATTTTGTCGCATCTACCGCATCGACAACGCTGACAATGCTCCTCCCTATCTCTTTCTGTCTCACCAGCAGCTGCCACCATCAAACCGGCGCCGACCCCAGCCTGCTCTTGCTGTGAGTGCCTCCTTGCTGGCGCAGGTATTACTGGCACGCCATGTCTCCCAGTCAGCGTGGGTTCCAGTAGCGTAGATAGCATTTGACTCTGCAATAAAAGCTAGTATTTGATCCAATTGATCATGTTCACATTCTGATCGCTGCCTGGCTACAACTCAAAAATTGTAGGTAGACCGGTCTAGCTACGATCTGAAAATCGTTGCTAGTATATGATCTAAAAATCATAGCTAGGGGCAGGCTTTTGGCCTACGATTTTGGAAATTGTATGTCTCGTACGACATGGCAGTGCCTTAGGAGATTGTTAATCCCCTACAACACCGGGTGCCGTAGGAGGACCTACGGCACTTTCTGCCGTAGGCATCCTATGGCCTGCTTACCGTAGGTCTACCCCCAAACCCACAGCCACATGTATCTACGGGCATTCATAGCTAGGGGCAAGAATTTTCCTACGATTTTGGAAATCGTAGATCTTGTACGATATGGCAGTGCCGTAGGAGATCGTTAATCCCCTACGGCACCCAGATGCCGTAGGGCCACCTACAGCATTTTTGGCCGTAGAATGCCTACGGCCTGCTTACCGTAGGTCTACCCCTGAACCCACAGCCACATGTATCTAGAGGCATTGAATTGCTAAATCTGACTACTAATATGCGGCAGCGTGGCGATGGCATTGTTGGGTGGTGGGGCGAGCAGGCAGGAAGGCAGGCAGCACGGCGGCAGCAGGGCGGCGGCAGAGCAGCAGAGCGGCAGCGCGGCAGCAGGCAACAGCGGCAGAGCATTGTTGGCAGCAAAGAAAGGCGGCGAGGGAGGAGCAGGCAAAAGGGAGACGGGAGCAAAGGAGTCAGCAACGGCAATCAGCAGAGAAGGACAAGAGCGGCACAAACTCACATGAGGCGGAGCGGAAGCAAGGGCCTCAATCATCGGGGACGTCGGAGAGGGCCTCTCCGACGTTTCCGATGATTGACAGCGGCTGCTGGCGGAAGCAGCGGCAGGGCAGCAGGGCGGAAGCAAGTGGCAAGGTGACTGTGTTTGGCTGGCAGCTGCTGGCTGGCTGTGTTGGGTGGCTGCTGGCTGGGCGGACGACTGGCAGCTGTTGGCTGGCGGCTGGCCGGGCCTCTTGCTGGGCCTTGCTGGCGGCTGCGCTTGGCTGGCGCCCGCGCTTGGCTGGCGCCCGCGCTGAGCTGTGTTAGGGCAGCCCCGAGAGGCGTTTGTTGGCAGCGTGGAGTTAACTCCACACGCGCCGCACCACGGCTTGGACCCAAGGGGCGCAGCCCACAATGCAGTAGTGTTGGTCCAACCAGCGTGGTAGATAGTGCAGGACTGGAGCAGCTGGGTAATTGCTTCTGGTCATCGATTGTACTTAGTATCTATAGGATCCTACTTCCACGCACTTACTGTCTCCCTCAACCTCTCCTGGTACACTACACTGCCTTAGGCCTACCTACGGTTAGCAAGACCCCTAGGGCTTAACATTACAATCGACCTACCCACGGTACCAGCAATGTTTAGGATGGGAGACTCCAACGTCACTCACCTTTGCTTGGGCTTGGTGATCCCGCGCGGCCACCCTGGCCACGCCACCAAGTCCCCCGCATTGGCGGACACAGTCGACACTGGCATGGAGCAATCCCACGCCATGGCAGGCGACCTTGGTTTGGCCCGACCCCCATCCCCTCCTCCGGGTAGGACGGCCCTGTTATGCCCAAGGGGTCTTGCTAACCGTAGGTAGGCCTAAGGCGGCGTAGTGTACCGGGAGAGGTTGAGGGAGACAGTAAGTGTGTGAGGGGATATTGATATCTGTGCTGAGGCAAGCGGAGAGAATGGAGATGGATGACGGAACGAAAGGAGGCGTGGCGGGCGCGCGCGGCTGATGGCTGGGCCAAGGCTCTGAACTCGGGTCCGAGCCAAGCCCGCCGCGCGACAATATCGCACCGTAGGATCCTATAGATACTAAGTACAATCGACGACCGGAAGCAACCATCTAGCTATACCGATCTGGGGCTATCTACAGTACGGCTCGAACCGACACTGCCGCAGCACGGAACGCGGCCTTCGGGTCCGAGATGCGTTAAGGCCCGCGCGGAGTCAAGTCCACGCCGCCTCAGTACACCTCCCGTGGCTGTCCTAACAGGCCCCAGCCGACCTCAGCGCCATCGCCACCCTGGCGGCTAGTGCCGCATCCATGATGGACAAGATTCGCCTGATGATGGCCAACTACAACCGCTTGGCAGAGACGCCGGCCCCCTTGGCCATCCCTTTGAATGCCGCTCAGACCTCCACCACCGCTTCCTGGATGACGTCTCAGGAACGCTTTGAAGCGGCTACAGCCCGCATGAACAGGGCCCCGCACTTGGAAGCCGTCCAGGCCACCCGGGAGACCATGTTGGGAGTGCCAGACGACGGCTTCCACATGGCTCACACCGCCCACACCCCCAACAACGGAGCGCCCCATCGCGGCGTGGACACATTCCTTGCCCCACAGATGTCGTGCGGCTGGCCTGGGCTCTTCTGAGTTCCAAGCCTCGCCTGGCCCTTAGGCCACGCGGCCTCCTGCCTCCTCCTCCTTCCTGGCATCAATCTCACTTCCCATCTCTCTGCTCGTCAGCACAGCAGACCAAGGTCAAGGAATCAGAGATCTGTGTGCCCCTCCCGTTGTGGGACGGTGACAAGGCAGAGCTTGAGGAGTCTTAGCTGGTGTCAAAGGGCAGGTTGGTTTTGGCCGTAGGCTGACCTATGGCCTGAAATTGGGGAATTGGGGGTTATCTACGCTAAAAATGGCCGCAGGGCCACCTACGGCCAGAATTGGCGATCCCCTGCGCCAATTTCAGGCCGTAGGCAGCCCTACGGCCTGAAATCGGCGGTCTGCTACGGCAATTTCAGGCCGTAGGCCATCTACGGCCTAATTCCGGTGGGGCAGCTACGGGATTTCTGGCCGTGCAAGAAAATGGGCCAAAATCGAAAATCCAGTCGAGGACACTGCCGAGGATTCCAATTTTCTGAGCTGGCGAGGGCCGGCTCGCGCGGAGAGCTGCAGATGAACCTTTGAATTTTGAGCCTCCACCTGCCAACTCCCGGTTGCTTGCCCGACTCCTCTGCTCAAGTGCCTCATTCTGGACGTCGTGGGCTTCACGCGCGCTCTAGCTTTGTGCCCTCCACCCTGCCGCAGGCCATCCTCTGCTCCAGGGCCAGCCCTCACTTCCCGTTGGGGCGCAGGTTCTGAGCGCGTGCTGGGTTTGGTCGGGCGCATGCAACACGTACAGGCTTCTTGCCGACCACCACCAACACGACCATACCACGAAACCGCACAGCTCCGCAATCACTACTACTCGTTCCTGCCAACCAGGTTCACCGCTTGCTGGACGCATCCAGCGGCCGATTCGTATTCGGCCGACTCACTATCGTAGCCATGGGTGCTCTCCTTTCGCTGCCGTTCCTCGGTGGCGGTCTGGCCTCGGTGTCCGCCTCGTGCCTGGCCGGTTTGGCCTTCTGCTGCACCAGTACCGCCGCCTCGGCCTTCTTCAAGTCGTGCAACTGCCAGTCCTCGATTGCGACCAGGGTCGGCTTTGCCATCATCTTTTGTCTGGATGCCTTGCTCGCATGGCTCAGCCTGACGGGCTTCGTCATGCACAAGATCGAGGAGTGGAGCTACAACTATGTCAAGATGGACTGCAAGGACAAGGACCGCTGCTATGGTGTCCTGGCTGTAAGAAGAGGTCCGCGACAGATGCTGTCGACGTCTAGAGGCGCTGCAAACTCACCATCCGCCCACGCGCATGCTCCCTTGCACCGTCCCTCAGGTCCATCGCATCACGTTTGCCCTGGCCCTTTTCCACCTGATCCTTGGCACCTTGTTGATCGGCGTTAAAGACACGCGCACGAAGCGAGCCGCCATCCAGAATGGGTGAGTGCCGTGGCGCCTGATTGCCCTTCGTGCCGTGTGCTGCGTCTCTGATAGCCACACCAACCTTGCCTTGCGCCGACGTCCAGATGGTGGGGTCCCAAGGTGCTGCTGTGGCTGCTCCTCACCCTCCTCATGTTCTTCGTCCCGAACGGCTTCTTCATCGTATGGGCCAACTACTTCGCCCTGATTCTTGCCTGCATCTTCATCGTCGTCGGCCTCGTCCTCCTCGTCGACTTCGCTCATACGTGGTCCGAAACCTGCCTCGACAAGTGGGAGGCCACCGACTCCAACTTTTGGAAGTTCACCCTCATCGGCAGTACGCTCGGCATGTACGCCGCCACCATTGCTCTTACTGGCGTGCTTTATGGCTTCTTTGCCTCGAGCGGATGCAGCCTCAATCAGTCCTTCATCAGCATCAACTTGGTCCTCTGCATCGTCCTCACCGGCCTATCCGTCAGCCCAATGGTGCAGGAGGCCAACCCTCGCAGCGGTCTGGCCCAGAGCAGCATGGTCGCGGCTTATTGCACCTACCTCATCGCTTCCGCCGTCATGAACCGCGACAACATCGAGTGCAACCCGATCACGCGAGGTCGGGGTGGAAACGCCAAGACCACGACAGTCGTGATTGGTGCTGTCTTCACGTTCTTGGCGATCGCCTATTCGACCTCGAGGGCTGCCACACAGTCCAAAGCCCTCGTCGGCAAGAGGCGCGCGGCAATCAACGAAAACATGCCGCCATCCGGCTACGGGCCACTGGCCACTCGCGACTCGATGGATGCATCCAGCAGCGGCGGCGGAGGCGTCGTCACTGACCAGCCCGGCAAGAAGGACTCGCTCCGGATCCAAGCCCTGATGGCGGCCGTCGAAGCAGGTGCGATCCCCGCTTCAGCGCTCGACGAGGACATGGACGACGACTCAGACGCTGGAGACGGATTCGGCGGTGACGAAGCCGACGACGAGCGTCAGGGAACGCGGTACAACTATGCCTTCTTCCACTTCGTCTTTGCGATCGCAGCATGTTACACTGCTATGCTGCTGACAGACTGGTGGGTCCGAACCGCATCCTTGTCTGCTGAGAGCGTGCTGTCTGCCCGCGTGCTTAACCTCTCTCGCCCGTCTGGTCGCCTTGCCTTGCCAGGCGCTTTGTTCGGCTGGGTGGACCGTCGCCGGACCCCTCGGAAGATGGCGCGCCAATTGCCTACATCGGACGCAGCTCGACCGCCATGTGGATGCGAGTCGTCAGCAGCTGGCTCTGCATTGTCATCTATATCTGGAGCCTGGTCGCGCCTGTACTCCGTGAGTCCATGCAGGTTCGGGCCGCGGCGAGTCACCGCCATCTGCCTGCTGATCACCACCGTCTCAACTGGCTGTCATCGTACGACAGTACCAGACCGCTTCGGCTCCGACTGAAGCAAGGGCCCGGCACGCCGCAGTCCTGTCAAGCTCTTCTGTAAGACTGCTGTCGGCAGCGGAGTCGTCGCGATACTTCTGTCATTTCAAGATGACTCCTAGTCGAGGCCGAACTCCCACGTGCGACACTCGCCGCCACCGGCGCGGCTGGCCCTTTCGTTTGGATCTGTTTGAAGGTTTCGGAGTCGCAGCAGGTCCTCGTTATCACCAGCACTGACACCTTCGACCCAGCCGACGGTTCTCCTGTGCTCGTAGCCATTCCACCGGCTCGGCTCGAACTCGAAGCTCCTCCAGAGCTGGTAATGCCGGGGTGTCCCTCGACGTGGTCGGCTGTCGTCTCGGCTCCGCTGGCCCTTGGCTCCTGGTTTCTTCGTCGATACGGGCTTAGCCGGCCTGGAGTCCCTGCTCAGGCCGTGAGCATCGAGGTCGGCGAGGGTGGGCTTCTTGCATCCCTTTGGCAATGGCGGTGCGATTGGTACGATGCTCGAAAGCATCTCGGGGAGGCGCTTTCCCAGCGTTGCCACGCTCCAGAGGGTGTAGGGAGCCGCGTTCCTCAAGGTGATGAGGACCGAGCCTCGCTTGACCGGTGGCCGGAAGGGTTGCCTTGCTCGGCTGGCGGCAAGAGCCTCTCTCTCCGCCTCGGTGGCGTCCTTGAAGGCATCGAGGATGTCGAGACCCTCGCCTTCTTCGTCCTCGCCGACCATCGGGTCCGGCTCTTCGGAGTCTGCTCGCGCAAGGGGCCGCTGGGATTGGCCGAGGGCGGCAGCGGCGTGCTTGGGTAGGGGACCGTCGGTCAGGTAGGGCGCGACCGAGATAAAGAAGCGAAGGAGCAGCAGCTGGTTGGCGAGGACATTCCTTGTCTCGTCCTTGTGGCCAGCACCTGCGGGGATGAGGCGAGAGCAGGGAGCCGAAACGCATTACTGGTAAGCGACACGGCCAGGGCGCATGGGGTTTCCAAGGCGAGTCAAACTCACCAACATGAGGGAAGCCAAACCACACCTTGCTCCATCTCCGCGTCGAGGGCGGCGGGGCAAGTGGGTCAGCGGAGCGGCCTGCCTTGGACTTGCCAGTGACCTGCTTGACCTTGTCGAGCTGGCCGGCGTCGACCCCAAAGACGACGACGTCTTCTCTCGCCGCCAGTTCCCTGATCTTGCGCACGTTTGATTCTGCATCCGGGTACTTTCTGTAGCACTCCTGCTCAGAATCGTAAGCGGTGGCGAGGATCTGCGAGGGCGAATGGTTGCGAGGTTGGGAGAGCAGCGAAAGGGTAAAGGAGAAGTTGGCCTCTCCGACGATGAGGATGGTATCGTCGTGGCCGAAAGGCTCTACGGTCCGTTTTGCCGGAAGCTGCGGACAGGCAGCCCCGCTCTGCCGCGGGCCAGACGACGAGTCCGGGCTGCCTGCACCTCCTGTACCCGTCGCGGGTTGCTTGCGAGGCGATGCATTCGGCTTCTGCCTCTTGTTTGACCTCGTGAGAGATTCTGCCTTTCTCTTTACGGCCTCCTGGACGGCCCTGTGATGATTCTTCTCGTCCTGCTGCCTGTTGAAAGAGGCAAACGCCTTTTTGAGGCTGCCTTTCTTTGGCATGGCGTTGTGTTCGACGGCTGCGATGTAGACGGACCGATGAGCAGTGAGGGAAGGGGGGGCAGGTCGGGTTGGTGGCAAGAAGACGTGGGCTCTCTGCCGCCGAAGTCGTGGGCCCCTCTGGCGCCAAAATTGTGTGCCTGCACCTCTGACTTGGCAGCCTCCGATTTCCGAACCCCTGGCGGCCGGGGCCCCCTGGCCAGAAGGGTTGGCGGGCTGACGGTTGGACCCCCCAGCCAGGAGTTCAGAGTGGTATCTCTCCTCTCTCCCCTGGCATCTTTCCACTCGCTGTTACACCGTCATCATCACCTCTTCTCTCTTTTCGAGTTTCTCGAAGACCGCTTTCGGAGAGCTTCAGAGCCGCCCGCCGCCGCCTCGTCGAAGCCATCATGGCCCGGACAGACGGCCCAGAAGTCCCTGGCCGTGTAGGCGGACCCACTCAAGATGACTCTGGCTTCACTTCGATCCTTTCTCAGCCCGCCTGCCTCGACGAGCTGAAAGCCTACCATCGCTTCCTCTTCCAGCATTGCGTCGCCCTCGTTCCGACCCTCATAGCCCTCGTCGTAGCCTTCTGCGTGTCCTTTCAAGCTCGCACCACCTGCAACTTGCAAACCATCGACCGCAACCACAAGGCCACCCACGCTAGCCTCTCCTGTCATCAGCTCCTCGACATCCAGACAATCGCCCTTTGCTCCTGCCTCGGAGTCACGGCATGGCTCGCATCTTACGCGTCGCGAAGGGCCTCGTGGTCCTTCGCATCGTCCCTGGTGTTTGTCGGTGCCCTCACCCACTCTCCCGACCGTCGCCGCCCCGCCTCGGCCGACCCGCAGCGCTTCATCGTCGGGATCGCTGTGCTCCTGCAGTCGCTTCTCACCGAGAGCCTTCGCATCTTTTCCTTCTACCTCGCAAGTTGCATTCTCCTGGCGAGACTGCACGAGCAACTCGACGAGGCGTCTCGGGCCTCACCCTCTCTTCAGTCTTCCAGGCACCACCGCGAACCGCCCCCGTGGGCATGGCAAGCCAGCTTCCATGACCCTCGCTTCTTCATTGCAATTTGGGTCTCTCTGGCCTGTGAGTGCTCACGCGCGCTTCTCCGGAACACCTCGGTTCCTTCCTTCTTCCCTCCTCGCCTTCGTCTTTCACGCTGAAAAGCCATGCCTTCCCCTTTCTACGCCTTGTCCGACACCAGGGTCTCTGATCGAGTTCGTCTCCGGAGCTTCCCAGATCCTTCGCCAGCTAGCGCTGTACAAGCCCTGGCAAGGATCCGAGGCACCATTTGCCTTCGATGCCTCATCGGCATGGAGCCGTGTCTCGTTCTTCAGGCCGGGGGCAGCAGCCCGAGACGCTGAGCTTGGTGAAGCGGCGTCCCAGCCGTATGCCCAGCGCATCAAGGCGCTTGCCGTCTCACGCTCTTCTACCTGGACCGCCCCTTCGGCTGGGACCATTACTCCAGGAAAGGCCGCCATGCGAACTGATGGCCCCGGCACATCGCAGGCCGTCGCGGACCAGGCGCAGAGGCGCAATTACGGGACAATGAGCGGTCCCCAAGTGGCACGGCCAGATAACGCAGAGGCGCGGAGCCGAGCACCGACGAGCGGCCCAGGTGGTCAACACATCTCGGAGGCGGAGCAGGCCTCGACCTCCAGCTTTACCACTTCCTCGACTGCGTCATCAGAGCTCGACATGGAGCTCGAGGACCAGGTCCAGCAGCTCCTTCTCGCAAAGGAGCGCGCAGAAGTCGAAGCCGTGCTGGGCGCTCCTCTGCCGTCCATTTCCGTCGCACTCTGCTCGTTGTGGAGGATCGATGCCATGCTGTGGAGCATGGGCAGTGGCGTGAGTGTCTGGCTACCGTCCTATCCGGTTCATCGATGCTGTGCCCTTTGTTGACGATCCTGACCCATCTGCTTTGCCAACCGGGACGTGTAGCTGCTGCTCTCGGCCATCTTTGCCCATAGCCAGGGCTCCCTCGGCGACCTGACAAAACGCGGCTTCAGCATCTCGGTCGGCTTCAACCTCTTTCCGTCTCTTCCCGAGTATGCCGGCACGTTTGGCTTCCTGGTCCTGCTCCACGCCGCTGTATCAGTTGTGTGGGCCACCAGCCTCCCGACAATCGGGTTCGCGTCGGCCACCTACAGCTCGCTCCTGATCGGCATCTCTCTCCTACTTGCTGGGCTGGCAAGGTGGGGCTTCCTCGTCTGACATCGCCGACTTTGCCTTTCCGTGGGATCCTCCCTGTCCTGATACCACCCTTTTCCCTGAGGGGATGAATCAACACGATACCCGTGCCTGCCAACATCAGACCGCTTGTGGACCCTGCAACGAGCGATTGCCGCGCCTGCTGGCAGCACAGCTTGCTTGCATGCGTGATCGACAGAGAGAGAACAGAGCAGCCGCGTGCATTTCGCCAGTCCAGCAGTCGCATTTACGACAGCGGTACCAGCGTGTTGGCGCTTTTGAGGCCAGCAAATCGCCGCACTGTCCTGCCGCCCTCTGACGCCGGATACGAGTAGATGGCCAGCTTGACGACGGGAGCCGTGAACGCGCCTGGTCCATCTGGCTGCGTGTCCCCCTGGGACAGCATCGTTAGAGGCTTGCCGATCAGCCCTTCGATCCTGGCGACGAGCATTCGCAGTGTGCTCTTCGAACCGCGGTGTAGCTTTTCCGGATCGATGTCGGGCAGGAACGAGATCGCCGCTTGGTCGTTGAACAGGATCGGCACGCGTACTGTGTTCTGCCTGCGCTCGCCTGCCATCTGACCGGCAGGCGCTGCATCGACCTCCTCGAGCATGATGGCGAAGCGCAGCGTGTATCGAAGGTTGGTCTCGCCTTCGCCGTCCTCCTCCCCGCATCTGGCGCAGAAGAGCTCTTCGAGGGGAAGCAGCTTCCTGCACGACTTGCACTCGAGACGTGCCCACTCCTCCGGCCTTTCCGGCCGGACCGAGACGACGCGGCCACTGACCTTGTGCATACCCGGACAGGTGCTGGTGGTGAGCAGCGAGGAGAACGGCGTGTCTGGAACGGATGAGGGCGCCTTGCAACGGACCGTGACCGAGGGCCATGCTGCTGCTGGGGGTTTCGGTTGCGCGGCGGGCGGAGGGGGTGTCGAGGTCGCTGGGATGCGCTGGGCGGCTGCGGCGGTGTCTTTTGTGCTACCGGCCGAACTCTCCTGACTGTCGGTATTGGGCTGAGAGGTCTGCCACGGTTGCAGAATCTGCAGCTGCCTCTGTCCCGGCGTAGGGGGACTAGGGTCGAGGACGCTTTTCACCTGGCTCCCAAAGCCTTCCTGCTCTTCGTCCTTCGCCCGTATCCGACCGGAAGTCGGCGACTCTTTGACGGGATGATTCAACGCTGACTGCACTGCCTCTTCATCCGGCTCTCGTTTCGACGCTTGCGGAGCTGGTTCAGCAGACCCTGCCGGTAGAGTATCGGCACCGTCAACGTTCGTGGGGGCCCTGCAATCGTCAAGGTGACCGCCTTCGACCGTCACTTCGGGTTCTGTGGCACGTCGATGTCGTTCGAGGAAGTGCGCGCGCCGCCGTTCGAGACTGATGCGCGCGTCCTCCGACGGCTTCAGCGTCTTGATCTTGACACCCGAGTCGCTGGCACTGCCAAGGCCGCCAACCAGCATGCCCCTGGGGTTCATCTTGGCCCTGACGTTCTCGATCCGGATGATGTCGCCGGTCTTGAGGGCGTCCGCTATTTCGGCATGGATGTCCCAGAGGCCTATCTGGAAGACGTGGCCCCAACCGTCGCCGGGCTCGGGATACTCGAGAGCCGTGTCGAGCCCGAGGTAGTGATCCGTCCCGCGGAAAAAGAGGGCGTGGGAGGTGTAGTCGGTCACGTAGAGGTCCGGCGAGTGGGCTTGGGTGAAGACTTTGAGCACCTCGACTGTGCTGTCAAAGAAGAGGTTCTCGGAGACCTCCTCGAGGCGGAGGCTGGAACGGCCAGGCCTCGAGAGCAGGCCGAGCTCGTCGCCCTGCAGCCTGCCATACCAGCTTGCCAGGCTCCGCATGTGGTCCGTCTCGGCGGCCGACAGAGGCTTGGCCTGTTCAAAGGACGGAGATTTGCGGATGCTGCCAGACACGGGGTCGTACAGAGCCCAGCTCCATGATTCTGCGTTCTTCCCCACGGCCTGGGGCTTGCCGTTGAAATCCTGAATGGCGACCCTGCGGAACAGAAGGACCTGACCCTTGCAGACCGGGCTGACGATGCGGTCCATGGTGGACGAGAAGAGCATGACGGTGAGCGAAGTGGTTAGGTTGCCGGGGTTCTGGCGATTCAGGATGGCGCTGCACGACATGTCGACCAGCTGGATCTTGAGGCTGAGATCGCGAGAGCCACCAGCGGCGCGTCGGGGATCGCCTGCGCCGATGACTACCCCGGCCACATTGGCGAGTTGCCCGTTGCGGAGTGCCGTGATGGAGGTATAAACGGTGCTGCCAAAGGTCGAGACGGGCTGGAAGATTGGGTCGTTGCGAGGCGGCGCGGGGCTTGCCGTCTGCCTCGCCATCGTGATGCCATCGGATGCGGTCGAGGTCAGACGGATCCTGTCCGTGTTATGCTGAGCTGCCACGGATTCCTGGCGTCGCCGTTGGGGCGGGCCGGCGGACGCGTCATCGCTCGGAGGCGCGGGGGATGCCGCGTTTGCGGCGACAACGCGTTCCTCAGGCCGCGACGTGTTACTGGGCCGACCCGACGGCTTCAGACCCCGTTGTTCTGTCCCCGTTCCGCTGGGCTGTGCTTGCGGGGCGGGCGTGTCAAACCAGCCGTCGGAAGCGCCCGAGGACATTGTTCGGGACGACGCCGGGCGCGCCAGAGGGGGCCGCATGCTAAAGCTCTTCGGGGATGCGGCAGAGGCCCCCTGTCTGGCATTGCCGGGACGATCGAGGCGCTCGACCCACAAGGCCTCTGTGTCAGGTCCATCGCCGACAGAGGTGGGCCGGAAGCGGAGCACGGCCTTGCCCGTGCGAAACTCGATCCTCTCGGGCCGACTGGGATCGAAGGTGGCGGCGAAGCCAGATAGGTGGACATGAGCCGGAGGCGACCTGCGGTGGACAGCGCCGAGGGTGCGGAAGACGTGCTCGGCGAGAGGGCCATAGAATGCGGCGCAGAGCTTCGAGGGGCCAGCTGATGGGTCCGAGGCGATGGGCGGACACTCGAGATCAAGATGGCAGGCGGAGCCATCCGCCGAGGTGGTCGAGAGCGCGATCTTGACAAGTGTGGCATAGAGGCAGACTGCGGCGCCTCTGCCCTGACCCACCCTTTCGCACCAGCGCGGCAGGTCGACGAGGCGGCCCAGGCGATCCTCATCGTCGTCGGAGAGGATCCGAGGTCTCTTTGCGGCAGGCCCCTCGGGATGCTGCTCGGGGGCGGTTGACAGAGACGCGGCGGCGGTGGGCGCGGCGACAATGTCCGAGGTCTCCCTCTTGAGAGACTTTTTCTTGCGGGGCATGTTTGCGCGCCAGATGGGCAAGGTGAGCGCCAAAGGTGAGGGACGAGGTTGGACGGCCAAGGTGACGACGGGTCGGCGCGGTCTGGGGTGCGCCAGAAGTACGTCCGTGTGTTGCTCTCTCTCTCTCTCGCCTCGGTTTCAAAAGAAAAAAAGTTGGCCTGAGCTCATGTGCTGGTGGGGCCAGGCCAGGCCAGGCCAGGCCTCCCTTTGGGCGACGCGTCGCGTAGATGCAAGAAAGCCCGCGGGGCCGTCTCAGGAGGCCAATTCCGAGGCTGGCTGCGCTCGGCCCCGCCGATGACGGCGAATCGTAACATCTGGTGTCGAGCTCGAGCTGGTTGCTCAGCTGCCCGTAACCAAACCAGACCGGCACGCAAGTGAGCTGCCTCCTTCTCGACAGCAAGCATCATTTCGCACACCCAACGCTTCCCCCCGCCACGACGGGCTTGCAACGCTTTCGACACCCTCGCCCTCCCCCTTCTGGCGTGTGTCGCAGTCCATCCTTGTTGAGCCCTGCCTCGTCACGCTGCGACTCAAAAACACCACCCACACGCGGCCTCGACGGCCATCGACGCATCTTCTCGCAACCCGTCCGTCGGACCCTTGGTGACAGGAAGATGGGTGAGTGCCGTAGCTGAGGCGCGGCCTTGAACAAGGCAGCCGCCTCTCATCCTGGACTCATCCCATTGACTCGATCGCCACCTGAACAACCCTGCCGCCCGTAGCTCGGGTCATGCCCATCGTCGTCGTCGACGATAGCGACCTCTCCGACCTGTCCGACGTCGGAACGCCTCCTCCCGCTCCGACACCCAAAGCGCCATCTCCGAACAGCAAGAAACGATCCAACCCCGACTCATCCGGCCTCGACTCTCGGACTGTGACTGTTGCCACGAACCCGGCACCTGCACCGTCCAAAAAGCCCAGACCGTCGTCGGCGACGAACGGCGCAAAGGAGCCTCAGCAAAGGACGCTTGCTGCCCTATTCGGCAGACCAGAACTGAAGCAGACGGTCCCCAAGCCCAAGGCAAAGTCGACCGGCAAGAAAAACTACCCCTCAACCTCGAGCAGCAGCCCCTCGCAGCAGCCGCATGCCTCCAAGGTCTCAACGGCTCCCTCCACGAGCCCGCACCTCGACTCAGGCGGCGAGGGCAAGCCTTCGACCGTGAGCGAGCACAAGCTCTGCCACCATCATCGACGCCAGTGCACCAACACCCCACTGCTCCAGTGCACGTTCCTACGCAACGGCAACCGATGCCAGCTCAAATACTGTCACTCGGCACTGCAGCACAACTACGGCGTGGATGCAGCTTCCATTGTCAAAAACGGCAGATTCATGGTCGACGAGTCCCAGCACTGCCCCCCGTCAGAGGCAAAATACGCCTTCAAATGCCCGCGCTGCCGCGACAAGTGCGCCTGCTCTCCGTGTCGCAAGAAGAAAGGCCTTCTGCCGCTGGCCAAGGTCGCAAGCCTGGCCAAGGCGCAAGGCAGCGGTCCCGCAACAGACATCCTTGCCAACAAAGCGAAAGGCAAGGACAAAGCGAAAACCGAAGCAAGCGGCGCCAGCCCGCGTCCAGGAGAAGCGAGCAAGGCGAAGGGCAAGCGCAAGGCCGACGACATCACGACGCCGCCTCCTGATGTCAAGCCAAAGCAGAACAGGCTGACGGCCGGTACGCAGACCAGAGCGGTCCAGCCGCGTGTCCTCAAGCCGCCGCAGCCTGTCAGTGCGCCCACACTAGAGACCATCATCAGCAGGCTGCCCCCCGAGAACCTGCGCGCCAGGATGTGGCTGTATGAGAGTTTCGTCCGCTTCGACAAGATCGGCCTTCCAAAGTGAGTTGACTCGTCCGCTCCGGAGGAAGGCATGGGGTCCCAGAGGTTGACTGTAACCGCGACACGATGTACCCCGCTCGTTCTAGGACGGAGCTCAACCACCTCGATCGGTTCGACGCTTGGTCCCACGCGAGGGTTCAAGAGATGCTCTCGACGCTTTTGCGCTACCTTGCTGGGCTGCAACACATCGACAAGGGACAGGTAAGTCTTGGCTGCTTCGTGGGAACTATGGTCTCATCAGACAGGCTGAAGAAAAGCGTTCCTCCGGACCTTTGGCCGCCAAACTGGTTTTGGAACAGCCGACCAAGAACACGACAAAGGCAGTGCTTGCATACCGCCACTTCGGTCACGATCTCAGTCGCGGAGAACCGTGGTCGGCCGTCAGAGAAATGCTGGCCCGCTTTGGGCTGGAGCCACAGAGCCTGCCCTACGTCGAGCATCCTCTGTCACTCGAGCTCGAGAATCGTCCCGCTTCGCCACCGCCGCCCAGGCAGACTCGAAACCGGGCGGCCAGGGGAGCCCGTCAGGTCGACTATTCTCGGCAACTCGGCATGCTCAAGGACTGGGAGGAGGATTTTGGCGAGGAAGGCGACTCTGATGTTCCCCCAGGCACCGAAAAGGGAAGACGACGCCCCGCTCGAAGGATCGCAAGCGAATCCGACGACGAGTCCGAGGAGGTCGAGTCCGGTGCCGAGAGCGACGATACGGAACGCGAGTCCGGTAGTCGCTCTTCGCGCCGTCAGCAGCAGGAGAAGGGCCAGGATGAAGCGGCTGCGCGGCGGCCTCGAGATGCTTCAGCGGAGTCCGAGGCGAGACACGACGCCCCCGACATGGAGACCAAAGTGGCCTTGCTCGCGTGCATGGTCGATGCCGCCCTGATGACCGAGGAGATCGGTGAAGAACTCAAACTTGCCACCGATGAGATTGCCGTCCTCGAGAGGCAGCACAAGGCGGACATGGCCATTACGGAGAAGGAGCTTGCCGAGGAGACGGCCGAGTTGAACAAGCGGGCACCCTCGCTCATCGCCCCCGAATTCCAAGCCTGGAAGAACGAGGTGAGTGGGACGTGCCTTGGATGGTCGAGCAGATCGGGCGGTTACTGACGTACCACGTTCGGTGTCGTCCTACTTGATCCCTCGATGAGCAGAAGGTCGAACACGACAGGGACGTCAAATGGCGCAGATTGGATGCCAAGGTCTTTCACGAGATCCAGGTCGATGCGCATGGTGAGCGAGCTTCTGTGGCCGGACGGCCCCCGTCTTGAAGCTGCATCTCTGACGCCGCATGGCTGTTTCTTCTTCTTGCCGATATATCGTCCTGCTCCACTTGAAGCTCTGCGAACCGGTCCCATTGGCTACGACGCCGATGGCAGAGAGTACTGGCATCTAAGAGAATGTAAGCTCGTTTTTGGTGTTCGTACGGGAGCTACATCGGTGCTGACGCTGTCCGCTTCCACGCCTGCTTATGGCCGCCGGCAGACCAAGAGCATATGCCGCGCCAGACGGAAGGCAGGTACTCTTGGTGCCTCATTGTCCTGGGTGTGACCTTCCCGTCATCAGCCCCGGCATCTGCGGATGCAAGTCTGGACGCCGCCGGCACAGCCGATACGTCGACTCAGGCGGGAGGCACTGCAAGCGAGCCGACGGCCGTGGACAAGGCAGACGCGGACAGGCAGGCGACCCCAAGCAAGCCGGGTTGTACGCCACCAGCCGCCGCCTCTTCAGTCAAGCAACAAGGCGACAGTGCCGGTGCAGCCTCATCGGGCAAGGAAAGGCGAGCCGACAACGGTCCCGCATCGTCGACTGATCCGATCTGCATGGGCACTAACGACCCTGCCGTCATCACCAAGCTGATGCAGTACGTCCGCTACCGAGACGAGCAAAAGCAGTACGAGGAGAACCACGAGATGCAGCAGCGGGAGCTGGAGCAGGCCGTCATGGGCCAATCCCCGGAAAACATCGGAGCCGACACCAAGTCGACGGCTCAGGGTCCGGGCCTGAGGAAGGCAAAGCAGCTGATGAAGGAGAAGCAGGAGGAAAGAAAGGCCCAGACCGAGATGCTCCTCAAGAAGCTGGCCAAAGCTCGCGACTACTTTGCCTGGCACCGCGAGGAGGTTCCACCCTGATGAGGATCGAGGAGGGCCGGCTGATCTCGCACAGAATCTCGAGCAAAACCCACATAGCTCAATCCGCGCGCCGGCTTCGAGGTGCCACCAGAGTCGATCGCTTTTGTGCATCTGTACTGGCCGCCGTCCCTGCATCTACGGCAGTTGAAACGCCATCGCGCTCGACGTCGGCGCATGCGGACCGTCGCTCGGGCCTCTCTCTTTACGCTCGACTGGGAACAAATCGACGTTCGTACTAGCAGTCGGTGATGCGTGGCTGTGTATCGGATTCGGACTCTACACGAGGTGTCGGTCGGTCCCCTCACGAAATTGCGCCTAGCCTGTGCAATGTTGGCGGCGCTGGGACGACGTGGCCTCCCATCCCACTCCGCATCTGCCGGCTACGCCTTTATCCGCTCGCTCTTTTAGGGCTGCGCCTCGGCCGACGTCTCTGCGGGGGCCACGAGCGTGGGCACGGGCTCGGGCTTGTTGTCCGATGGGAGCGGCTTGTTGGCGGGGAAGGCCAGAACCTCCTTGATCGAGTTGCTGTCGGTGAGGAACATGACTAGGCGGTCAATGCCGAGACCCCAGCCGGCGGTGGGGGGCAGACCATGCTCGAGAGCATCGAGGAAGACGTGGTCGACGGCCTGGGCCTCGTCGTCGCCAGCGTCCTTCTGCCTGGCCTGCTCTTCAAAGTTGGCCCGCTGCACCCAGGGGTCGTTGAGCTCGGTGTAGGCGTTGCAGATCTCCTTGGTGGCCACAAATGCCTCGAAACGCTCGCAGAGGCCGGGAATCTCGCGGTGCCTCTTCGCCAGCGGCGACATGACCTGAGGGTGGCCGACGATGAAGCTCGGGTTCACGCACTGGTTCTCGATGAACTCGCCGGTGAGCTTGTCGATAAGCCTGGAGCAGGTGCGGGGCTCGCTGCAGTCGACGTTGTGCTTGGCTGCGAGGTCCGACAGGAACTGCCGCGTCTCCTCGGTGTGGAGCTGGTCGGCGGGCGGGAACTTGACGTTGAGCTGCTTTTCCAGCTCCCCGATCATGTCGAAGCGCTTCCAGGGCGTCGAGAAGTCGATCTCGAACTCGCGGCCGCCCTCGACGTCCTTGCCGTCGGGGTGGTACTTGATCTTGTAACCGCCCGTGACGGCCTTGACGAGTCCCGAGATCATGCTCTCGGTGATCTCCATCAGGTCGTACATGTCGGCGTAGGCCATGTAGAACTCGCAGATGGAGAACTCGGGGTTGTGGGTCTGATCGATGGACTCGTTTCGGAAGACGCGGCCAATCTCGTAGACACGGTCCAGGCCGCCGACGACAAGCTCCTTGAGGTAGAGCTCGGGCGCGATCCGCATGAAGAGGTCGAGCTTGAGGTCGTTGTGGTGGGTGATGAAGGGCTTGGCGGTGGCACCTCCGGCAATCTGGTTCATCATCGGCGTCTCGACCTCGAGGAAGCCGAGGTTGTCGAGGTAGCGTCGGACGTAGCTGATGACCTTGGCACGCTTGATGAAAATCTCGCGCACGTGGTTGTTCATGATGAGGTCGAGGTAGCGCTTTCGGTGTCGCTGCTCGGTGTCGGTGAAGCCGCCCTTGTCGCCCTGGGCGGCCTTGGGAAGCATCTTGAGGTTGGGCGAGAGAAGCTTGACCGAGGTGGGGAAGATGGACAGCTCGCCCTTCTTGGTCTTGCCGGGGACACCGACGACGCCGACGACATCACCTCGGCGGAGCAGGTCATGCGCCTCGAAAAAGTCGCCGTCCTTGTGGTCCTGAAGCTGGGCCGTAATCTGGATTTTGACTCCCTCTCCGTGAAGATCGTAGAAGCGGAGCTTCTGGCCCGACGACCGCATGTTGTGGATGCGGCCGGCGACCGAGACCTCCTCTCCCTCGAGGTGCTGACCGGCCTCGAGCTTGCCCTCGTATCGGGAGATGAAGTCGGTCAAGCTGATCGAGACGTGGAACTTGTGCGGGTACGGGTCGGGGTTGCGGGTCTCGCGAAGCTTAGCAATGGTGCGGAAGCGGCGCTCGTAGTACTGGTTGGGGTTGAGCTCCTCCTCGTTGGCCGCGGCAGACTCGGCCTTCTTGGCCGAGGCGGCAGGAGCCGGAGCTGCAGCGGCCTTGGCTGCCTTTTCAGCATCCTTCTCCCTCTTCTTCATCCGCTTCTTCAGCTCGCTGCAGGAGGGGGCCAAGAGTGTGCGAACGCGGCGGCGGCGATCTCGGGTTCAGCTCGGCGGAAGCGTGGAGAAGGTGGGGATGAGGTTGCGATCCGGAGCAGCTAGCTGACTGACTCACTTCTTGCTGACCATCTCTCCGGTCACCTCGTCGCGGAGAAGCTTGGCCGCATCGGCGGCGGCGTCAGTGGCCGACATGGTCCTGACGTGTGTCTGGAATAGGATGGGTAGATGGGTGGGTCGGGTGCGTGCGATGCGGGGGAGAGGCAATCTGGCAGCTATCGACAGGAAAGCGTGGGCGTGAGCTGATGTGGCGAGGCTGCGCAGCATGCAACGACGGAGGAACGAGGGGGCGGAAGATGGCTGTCGTTGGTGAGCGAAGAAGACGTACAGGTCAGGGCAGGTCGCGAATGGCGGTGGCCACCTGAGAGCGATGACGGGTGCCGGCCGGCCAGCAGCAGCAGGCGGCGGAGCCCCCCGCCATCCCAATTTTTTTCCCCCTTGCGTCTCCTTTCACCCTTGACTCTCTTGTCCCGGCGCCCGATTGGACTGCTGGCCCCGAGTCACCGAGTTCGGTTCCGCCGTGCCACCACGAATCCGCACCGCACGCACCGACGCTGGCGCAACGCACTTGCAGGCCGTCACACCACAATTCCTCTGTCCTCACACGCCAACATGCAAGCAGTCCACAACCTCGTGCGGCTTCACTCGAGCGTCGACAATCAGCTTAGCTGGCCTCACCATGTGTGTGAGCACAGTGGCAACTCCGAGTATGGGCAGCATTAGACCGAGTCGTCCCCAATGGGATCCCAGCTGCGCAGGAAGACGACGAACCATCGTGGATCGTCACCGGTCAGCCTTGGTCGCATATATGTCGGGAAGCCCATCTTCAGGTCGCCTGATTTCCGTCTTTGAACTCACTCGGTGACGAGGTATTCGTCCAGGCTCAGAAGCCGCTCCATGTCTTTCTCGTCGAGGGCGAAGTCGAATACGTTGGCATTCTCCTCGATCCGGTCCTTCGACACCGACTTGGGGATCTGCGCAACGTGCGTCCAGCTGTCGACAGAGTCAGATCCGCACCTTGTATGACATCGAAGCAGCCCTCATCGCACCCGTCCCCTCGTTTCGCTCACCGTCACGTAGTCTCGTTGCAGCGAGAACCGACTGGTAGTGAGGAGGGGTCAAGGGACCTGGATCACCATCAGAGCTGACACGCGAGAAGGCCAGACACGCCGACTGCGATGACTCACATCAAAACCTGGGCAGGCGTGACACTGTGCTTCTTGGCCAGATTCTTGAGTGTCGGGTGATCCATTCGCTCGCCCCGGACCAAGGGGCCCCAGCACTGCGCGACGCAATAGAACGAGCAGTCGGTCACGTCAGTTTGCCAAGGGTGCCCACGCCTGGGCCGCCGTGTCGCGGAGCACACGCACCTCGAGCGCAATCTCGTTCTTCCGACAGTACTCGACCAGGTCGGCACGAGCCATGAATGGATGCAAGTCGCACTGGTTGATGACCGGCTCGTGCTTCGGGCAGGTGGCGAGGAGTTCCTCGATGTGCCTTTGACCTAGAGCACATGCAAAGCAACTCAGCGACGAGCCGTCAGAGTGAAAGCTCGCTCGTCGACACTAGTCCGGGGCAAGGATGGTTCGCATTCTGGGCTTCACGCTCACCGTAGTTGCTCACGCCGACGCTCTTCAGCAGCCCTGCGTCCTTGGCGTCTTCGATTGCCTTCCAGCTCTCCAGCCTCCTTTGCCTGCCGCCGTAAGGCGAATGCACCAGGTACAGGTCGATGTATCCGAGCTGACACGCCTGCAGACTCTGCTGGATCGAGCTTTTGGCGCTCTGATAGCCGCGATTTGACTGGAGTTTGCTCACATAGAAGATGTCGGCTCGCTCGAGCTGACAGCCGGGCCTCTGGAGGTATTGGCGGATGGCTTCTCCGACTGCCCTCTCGTTGTAGTACTGTCGGAAGCGGGTAGCGAGAAAGGACGTGGTCAATCTCGACCATCATCAATGCCGTCGCGGTCTCTGCAGATGTCGCCGGAAACGGCGTGGACCCACCCATTCCGCACTGTCCGTGTCGAGGCCAAGTGGTCGACGTGGGACGGTCCAGTCAGCTTCATAGGCGTGGGTCAACAGCAACGGCAAATGCGTTTCACCGATAGGCTGCTGGGGAGCAAAGTCATCTCACCAGTCGAAGTGGCGGTAGCCAGCGTCGAGCGCCCAGGTGACGGCACGCCGCGTCTCCGCATCGTCCATCTCATAGACACCGAGACCAAGACGAGGGATCAGGTTGCCGTCGCTCAGCTTCGGGGGCGGCACCGAGGAGGGGTCAGAGTGGCCTGTCAGTAATAGGTTAGCGGCGACAAGTGCTACGTGGCTCTGGCCGTTCGCCGGGGGAGTCTTACCCTGAGCCTGGATCCGAGGCGCAAATTGGACGTCATCCTGGCAACGTTTCTGGAAGATGTAGGGGGAATCCGCTGTTGGCTGCGTGTTTCCGAGGTGTTGCCGTGTATGCATATCCGGTGGTGGTGGTGGGATATCTACTTTGACAGCTTGGTCTGGATGGCCCAGCAACGAGAGAGTCGATTCAAGAGTCAAAGCGTAGTTAAGAATGTGACGTCGGGCAGCGTCGAGGCAGCATCAACGTCGACGTACACCGTTAGACGCAGAGTGGAGGTGGAGAAGCTCGCAGCCGACGGAGAGGGTCATGAGAGAGAGAGGAAGGGGTTGTGCGCCATTGATGGAGGTTCAAGGTTGTCGCTCGCCTTTGCTCCTTGGTGCCTCCCGTCCGCATGGTCCGTCGTGCCCCCGGTGGTGCGCGCAGGTGGTGCCGACGACAGCGGCAAGGCTTGCGTGTCAAGAACGCCGTCCCAGTCGCTCCGGCGCGTCCAACTCGAAAGCCGACTACGATGATTCTCGCATGCCGGGAATCGAGAGGCCTGGATGGGGTGGCGAGACCGGGTTCTGGCGAATGCTGGCCCCAAGGACGGGGCCCCAGACTACGCAGCAAAGGCGAGACCTTTGGGGTAAGGACACGGGCGCACTCGACACAAGACCACAACCATCACGTCTAGATTCGTTGGGATTCGCCATCTCGTCGGCACTGCCACCGTCTCTGAGCCACAAGCTTGTTGTTTGACAGAATTGAGTGCACTGCTACAGCTCGGTAGAAGTGTCAAGCCGATCCTACCGCTGCTTCTGAAGGCCCGGAGCCGCCGCAGCCGACGCTGCTGCACCTTACGCAGGGCTCGATTTCGCTCAGAGAGCCGAGGCGCCGGTGATGATGTCGACCAGGTCGTTGGTAATGGCAGCCTGTCGTCCACGGTTGTAGATCATGTTGAGCGACGAGATCATGTCTCCGGCGTTCTTCGAGGCGTTGTCCATGGCGTTGCGCTTGCTGTTGATCTCCGACGCGTGTCCCTCGACGAGGGCGGCGTAGATGGCGTTGGCAAACGAGAACTCGGCAAGGTCCTTGGTGACGTCGTCCTCCTGCTCGTAGAGCTTGAACTGGGGCGCGTTGCGGAGAGCGTCCTCGCTGAAGACCTCCATCACGTCCGACTCAAACGAGAGGGCCGAGACGTACTTGTTGTAGATCAGGTTGACCTTGTCAAACTTGACGCCGCTCCTGATGATCTGGTCGGCGATGGCGCTGGCGTCGGCAAAGGTGGGGACGTCCTTGCCAACCTGGTTGAACGAGAGCGCCAGGTTCTTGGGGAGGGCACGGGCGAGCTGGGCCTTGGACTTCTCGCCGAGCACAACCACGGCGGGTCCCTCGGACGACGAGGCGTCGCCGGCCGACTGGCCGATCTTGAGGAACTCGGCCTTGGTGCGCTTGGTGACCGACGAGTGGATACCACCGCAGAGACCCTTGTCGGACGAGACGACGATGAAGAGCTGGCGTCCACCCTCGGGGGCGACGGCCTCGGAGTTCTTGAAGATCTCTGCACATTGCAAGCGGCACGATGTCGAGGGACCACCCGTTCAGCACAATGAGCTCGATGCCCCCGGCGGATGCTATTCCGAGGAGCGGGAAGTGTCGCCCCTCCAACGAGCGGTGCGGACGTTGATGGACACGAGGAAGCTCGCCCGCCAACGGGGGTGATCCGGACCCCTTGATCGTTCTCATCCAGCTGGCCCGAGCAGAGAACTCTCACACTCACCGTTGTTGGCGGCGCCGTACACCTTGGCGGCCTGCATGGCACGCTGAGCCTTGTTGAGCTTGGTGGAGGCGATCATCTTCATCGACTGTGGTCCGTCGGGACGAGAAGCGGAGGAGGCGGTGCCGTCGGTCAGTGAACAACACTTTCTCTGCCTGGCTTGCTGACTTCGGAGGCGAGCGTAGATCCACTGCGGCCAGAACCGAGGACAAGGGCGGGCAAAAAGGGAGGCATGCCAGCAAGAGTGCAGTGCCGGACGAGGCGAGTATACGTGGCTGGTGGAGCGAAGCTCCGAACCTCGTCGCTGCTGACATGCGTTCGAGGTCCAGGTGCGAGCGCAATTACGCTGCGTGCTCCTGAGGATAGCCTCAAACAAGCTGCGGCTCGATAGGTGCCTCCTCTTGCCCGGCGATAGAGTGCACCGTGGCCGGCACTGCGGCCAAGATATCGGCAGCGGCACGATGTCACCCGGAGCCGGCAGGATGCTGAGGCGGCCAATGACATGTGCAGGAGACGGCGGACGGTCTCATCTCGTTCGCGGTGTCGTGTAGGGAAACGGTGCGCTACGGACCTTGGTGATCTTCTCGATGTTCTTGACCGACTTGATACGCTGCTCAGTCTCGCGGAGCGGGGCGGCCTGGCTGGTGGAAGAGTGGAAGCCGGCGCGGGCGGCCACGGCGACGGGAGCAGCCGAGGTGAGGCCGGCAAGGGCGGGCCTGGCGGCACGAGGAAGCATGGCCATCTTGTCGAATCAGGCAGCGAGTCGAAGGGGTGCGAGGGAGGAGGAGGAGGAGGGTTGACGAGGTCGAAGGGATGGTGACAAGGTGTGAGCGTGGTGGAGAAGCGACGACGGGTCGAGAGAAATGGTGCCCCTCGCTCTCTGCCTTGGCTGTCCCACTGCACGCCTGGCGGCGGCGGCGGCGACGACAACGGACGACGAGGCGGGGCGGGGCTCTTGCGCCCGTACGTTCTTCCTGGGCCGCCGCCTCGCCCTCGCCCCTCACCACCCTCGCCCGTGTCGCCCGTCTGCCCAGGCTGAGGATCGACTCTCGACTCTCTGAACTCTGAGCCCAGCGGCCCCGGCGCCGCCCGCCAGAACGCCCCCTACCTCGATCACGAACATGTATGCACGACGCGGAACTCTGGAAAATTGCTTTTGCTCGCACGAGAAAGATGGGCCTGGGTGGCTGGCCCCGAGTCAGGGCCAACAGAGACAGGCAGAGCCAGCAGGCAGGCTGGCTGGCCGCGACGAGGCAACCCAACCCCCTGGAGAAAAAACGAAGCCAGCCACAGAGAGGAGGCTAGGGACAGGCAGGGCTGCTCAGCCCAAGGCGTGCCCACCGCAGAGAGGCACAGAGTCGTCTGACAGCTTGGCCTCTTCCAGTCCAACGACCGCCAGACCCTACCCTCTGGCCGCCACTCATTCCGTACCAACGACGACGACCACCACCACCTCCACCGTTGCCGCCATCGCCGTCGCCACCGCCGCCATCATCATCCCTCGCGCTCGCTGCTCCTACGACCGAAGCCGCCACTGACAGGGATATCGACCCTTTGCCAACGCACGGCAGCTCGTATCGAATCCACGTCTCCTAGCGGCCCTGCAGACCTTCACATCGAGGCGACCACAGACCACCCCTGTTCGACAGACGGCCCAACCAGCCTGATCTCCAGCGCCACCAGATCCTTCCGTCCGCATCCACATCCTCTCGAAAATGGCCGACACAGAGCCCCTCTTCGACCCTTCTTTGAAGAAGAAGAAGAACAAGAAGGTCATCAACCTCGATGAGCTCGAAGACACGCCTGCTCCTACACCAGCACCCGACGCATCCGACGCCACCGAGGCGACCGAGCAGGCTCCCGATGCAGACGCGCAGCAGGAGGCCGACCTCTTCGGAGGCATGAAGAAGAAGAAGAACAAGAAGAAGATGGATCTCGACCTCGTGAGTGCGCTTTCTGCCCGAGCTTTGAGGGCCTATTACATCCTGACTTAACCATCTGACCATCCCATCTCTCAAATCCCGTGAACTTAGGGCGACGGAGCTGCACCTGCGTCATCTGATGCTCCCGCTGCCGGCGAAGGCGAGGCTGCCGGCGACAAGGCCGATGGCGACGATGACCTGAACGTGAGCATCTCTCTCTCTCTCTC